TTCGGATCATCAGAACCACAACAACATAAAAAAGTTTTAATATCGACTGATATGATTATATTGTGATTTGTTTTCTGCCGTATCGTCCAGCCATAGTTATACATAAAAACATATGTTTTGGTTTTCTTGCTGAATTTAGAGCTGAATAAGAAATTCACCTGATCACACGACCTTGGTGTGTCACGTTAATGATGTCTGATGACATCATTAACTGATGACGTCACGGCCTGATGACGGACCCACCACCTGTGTCTTCTCGGTGTTGCAGATCTGAACCCGTGCCGGATCAACCCCTGTCTTAACGGAGGGATCTGCAGTCAGGACCGGGAGGAGTTTCAGTGTCTGTGTCCTCCCAGGTTCCGCGGGAAAACCTGCGACTCGGGTAAGAAACGAGCTACCACTCGGATAAACACCTGTCGGCCACAACGTCATGCACCACACCTGTGTCTACCTGTGTCTGTGCCGGGTCTAGAGGTGTCGGAGTGTCGCTATGGGAACGGTGGCTGCCTGCAGTACTGCCAAGACCTGCCAGGGGGCGCTGGAGTTCAGTGTGGCTGTGCTGACGGATATAAACTGGAGGCTGATGGAACGAGCTGCAGGCCAACAGGTAACACCCAACGTATACCTGATCTAATCTGAAATAAACCTGCTCTAATCTGGTCTAATCTGAAATAAACCTGCTCTAATCTGGTCTAATCTGAAATAAACCTGCTCTAATCTGGTCTAATCTGAAATAAACCTGCTCTAATCTGGTCTAATCTGAAATAAACCTGCTCTAATCTGGTCTAATCTGAAATAAACCTGCTCTAATCTGGTCTAATCTGAAATAAACCTGCTCTAATCTGGTCTAATCTGAAATAAACCTGCTCTAATCTGGGTCTAATCTGAAATAAACCTGCTCTAATCTGGTCTAATCTGAAATAAACCTGCTCTAATCTGGTCTAATCTGAAATAAACCTGCTCTAATCTGGTCTAATCTGAAATAAACCTGCTCTAATCTGGTCTAATCTGAAATAAACCTGCTCTAATCTGGTCTAATCTGAAATAAACTTGCTCTAATCTGAGTCAGATTTGATGTCAGTCTCACCTGTCTGACAGATCGTTTACCTGTCTAATCTGTAATTCTGTCAGATTTTCCTGAGGTGAAATCCTCCATAACTGCTTTATTCTCCCATCCAGTGGAGTTTCCCTGCGGCCGCCAGCAGATGGCAGCGTTGTCCTACCGTCGCTCCCTGTTGGATCTCCTGGAGGACGACAACGTTACCATGGCTGCGGACCAGGACGGCACCAACAGCGAAGTCCATCAACACAACTCAACAGAACCGTCAGAGGCAACAAACTCCACATCAGGTTGGTCAACTTCAGTTATTACAGCTGGAACTGCAGCAACATAAAGACGGTTATAAAGACGGCCTTCTGTCACCTGAACAACATTTATCATGTTCTTTGAACTGTGCCATACAAATAAACTTGATTGATTGATTGATTGATTGATTGATTGATTGATTGATTGATTGATTGATTGATTGATTGATTGATTGATTGATTGATTGATTGATTGATTGATTGATTGATTGATTGATTGATTGATTGATTGATTGATTAATTGATTGACTGGCAGGTGGGAACCAGACGGAGGAACAAATGGAGAATTATTCGACTCGTATTGTGGGAGGAAACCTGGAGAGTCGAGGAGGAAGTCCCTGGCAGGTTAGGCTTCCATTGATGGTTCTGTTCAGGTTCTGTTCAGGTTCTGACTGATTCTGACCGGTTCTGTCCAGGTTCTGGTCCACAGATCGGACGGGTTCAGGTTCTGTGGAGGAACCCTGGTTTCCGAGCGGTGGGTTGTTTCTGCAGCTCACTGCTTTGAGGACTCAGCAGACCACGTCACTATAGGTGAGGATGAAGCTTTATTTTGAAAAACCTTGCTAACTGTTTCCTCTTCCAGACGGGCCTACTGGACCAGAACAAAATGATGGGAACCATCAGGCAGTTCTGACTGGTCTCTGTACTGATTGGCTGGTTTAATGTCCGATTTACTGCTTTGATTTAGTTTTTAGTGTTTTCAGGTCTGCAAACTATCAATCAAATTTAACTCTGGGATTTGACTAGGCCACTCTGAAAATTGATTTAATCTTTTGGGCCAGAGGAGATTTGCTGTTAGTCTTTGAAGGTTGAAGTTTCTCCTTCAGGAAACTTTGCTAGAAAGTGTAAACCAAGAGAAAATGTTATGTCCGCATGCACACAGGCTTGATTGACAGCGTTTAGCCCCGCCTCCTGGCTCTGATTGGTTGTTAGCAGTTAGCACTGGGAGAAGGCAGAGGAGATGGATTATTTTTCACAGATTATTCATCTCATGCTGCCACAACATGCTGACAGATTGTTTCTGTTTCAAGCGGATCTTGGCAACAACATTTACACCCAACCAGAGAAACTGATTTGTTAGCATAAAATCATAAAAACATCTGATAAAATTATAACTATTAGAAGCAACTGCAGTCATAATTCTATTTCCTTTAACCAGTTATTTATTCATTTGTTTTGTTGTTTTTAGGTGACTATGATAAAAAACGTCTTGATCCGGATGAGCAGAAGATAAAGATTCAGCAGATCGTTGTTCATCCTCATTTCCACTCCTACACCTTCGACAGCGACATCGCCCTGCTCTACCTGGCGCGGCCGGCCCTCAGGGGCCCCACCGCGGTCCCCGCCTGCCTGCCAGACCCCCACCTGTCCAGATACCTGCTGAGGGTAACCCGGTTCCGGCCTTGAGTCCGGCCGATGCAGGTTTGGGGTTCTGACCTCCTGTCTGTGTTCAGGAAGACACCCGGGGCGTGGTGACGGGTTGGGGCGCCACGCGCTACCTGGGCAGCTCCTCCCGCTTTCTGAGGAAGGTGACCCTGCCGGTGATCAGCTACCGGGCCTGCGCTGCCTCCACTGAACAGGTGAGCTGATCCACCTGTAGGGGGCGGAGCTGAGTTCAGGTCAACGCGCTCAGCAGGTTTTAATCTGCAGAATGTTATAAATTTCACCTCAAAACTCAGAAACATCATTCAACTCAGGAAAACTCGTAAAATGATAAATGTTTTTCTTTAAAATGACACAGGTTAAAAAAATTTTTTTTAAAATCCATATTTGTTAAAACTGTCATCATGTTGTGACAGTTTGACCTTTGACCTTTTCACCAGTCTGTCCTCTACCTTCTACCTGAACTGTTCCTGCAGTCTGAAAACATGCACCAAAATCAACCAATCAGAGCCAGGAGGAGGGGCTTAGCGTGTTCATCCTCATGAACACCCTGCTAAATGTGCTACTGATGGAGAAATGACTTACCGTTCCTGGGGAACAGTTCATGTCCCATCGTCAGTGCCCATGCTAACTAGCTTAGCATTCATAATGGAGAAGCTGTAACGTAGCGGAAAGAAAAGATGGGGCAGCTGCACAAACTCATGCATGATTGACAGCACAAAGACCCGCCTCCTGACTCTGATTGATTGATTCTAGATACTGGGAGAAGGCAGAGGAGATTGATTTTTTTTCATACCAAACTGTCACAAAATGTTGACAAAGGTAAAAAATATATTTTTTATAAACGTTAATGTTGCAGCATTTTAAGTTTCCGAACCAAAGATGTCCAGTAAAGGCAGCAGGTGGTTCGGTTCTTGATCACATTTCCAACTTGATTGAAAAAATATAGACGAAACAACTAAAAATCTCGTTGAAAACAAAAGTCAAACGTTAATCTGAAATTTCAAGTTCAATAAGTGTTAAAAAAATGTTATCAAAGGATTTTATGTCATTATTGCAGGATATTAAAGTATTTTTTCTGTTTAAAGTTGTGAGTTTAAGCCCTGATGTTTCAGACCAGAGTAAACTGGACTGAAACAGTTCACTCTAACCCCAACCCTAACCCTTACCCCCAACCCTAACCCTAACCCTAACCCTGTTGTCTGTGATCCCTCCGTCCTGCAGGTGATCACAGACAACATGTTCTGTGCCGGTTACCTGGAGACCGACATGGACGCCTGCAGCGGCGACAGCGGCGGGCCGTTCGTGGTCCACTACCGAGGAACCTGGTTCCTGACCGGGATCGTCAGCTGGGGGGAGAAATGCGCCGCGCCGGGGAAGTACGGTGTTTACACCCGGCTGGGAAATTTCCTGGGCTGGATCAGAGACACCATGCAGAGGGTGGACCGGAACCAGACCCTGAGCTGATGAGGCTTTGACTGGACCACACCGGAACCACCTTCAGCATCATCAGCACCATCAAACCTCAGTGGACCTAAAAGACGCAAAGCATCATTTTCCTTCAGAGACAGAAAGTTTTTCAGCTTAAACTCAATGCTTTTTTTAATAAGAGTTTTTATTTGTTTTTTGTGCAAATAGTTCCAACATTTATTGGAAACAACAAAAAGTTGAAAGATTGTTTAACTTCTCGGTTCTGCAGGCAGCAGGATGATAATCCAGAGCTGATCTGAATTCATCAGACGGGTCACATCAGCTCATCCTGTCAGGAATTATGGGATGTTTTCATGGAGGCTTAATGATCTGATTCTGCTTTTAATAAACAGATTTTGACAGAAATCCTCATTTCCTCTGATTCCAACGCTGAAGGACCAGCAGGCACCAAAGTTTATTCTCTTTCTGCTCTATTGTGATTAGTTTGAGTTGAAAATTTAAGAAAAACGTGTTTTCTTTTAAAACCTTCACATCGGCGGCCGGGGAGACAGTCAGTCTGAGGTGGTAGATATGAATCAGCTTTATCGCTTTTTTCAAACATTAAAGCATTAAAACCAGCAACAGACTAAAAATACCAGTTCTATGGAACATGAAACCAAAATCTATAAGTCTTAAAGCCCTAAAAACAAAAGGTGATTAAATTGGAAAACGTGTTTCATTTTTATGCTGAAAAGTAAAACAGTTCTACCAGAAATAAGAAGACGTGAACTAAAGCAGCGATGTTCAGCAGGTTCCCACATGTCAGGGCGTTTCTCCCCGGAGGAAAAACCAGAAAAGCACAACAGCAAACGAAGCTGCAGGTGAAACTCGCCGTTTCTGAAGAAGAGCCGTGATCCAGGTGAGTTTCTCTTTTCTTTTGACTTTTGTAGAGATAAAACTGCATCAGAGCTTCATTCATGACTCCACAGCGAAGTCAGTATCAGGCTGGAACCTCGACAGACTCAGTCCAACGTTTACTTCAGGAAGTGAGAGACAAACTCCAGTCGGTCGAATCGCAGCAAACGGTGGGAAAAACCACAGAGTGAAGGTCTGCAGAGGCAGACTCAGTCATTTTTGGGCCCAGGGCCAAGCTTCGTATGGAGCCCCCCACTGAGGGGCGACAGACCCTGAGGGTGAAGATGGTGAAGGCCTGCTGTTCTCCCACAGGGTGGCGCTCCTGCAGCTGTGCTGCGATTTATCTTAGAAAGTAATCATTCGTACACAGAGGATGCAGAGAGAACCCAAAGACTGCTGCAGAAACAACTGCAACACATTTTTACCCAAATAGAAAATGGGTAAAAAGTTAATTACTTAAATTACATTTTTACCGGATCTTTAATTGCTTGAAGCGATGATGTCATGTAGAATCGACCTTTTGAGTTACTGATTCCCTCATCCAAAAACATAACAATGGTGTTGCTTGATTAATTCATGAATGTCCATGGCAACCATTCAGCTGGGTGGAGCTAGCCCCGCCTACAACACGCAGCTCCTCCCCCATGCAGCTCCTCCCCCATGCAGCTCCTTCAGACTAGCCAGCAGCAATTAGCAAACAACTGAGGAACAGCTGAGGTAACTAAACATTAACGCACACAAAGCGCTAACGTTTGCCTCTTGACTCCACTCAGATCCCCCAGACTAGTGGCAGCACACTCTTCAATCTTCATTACACGAATCCTCATAATATTCACTCAATGATTATTGTATGAAACCAAGTAAAAATGTTTCTCCTTTGAATCATATTTCTTATCCAGATTTGAACTGAACATCCTGACCGTCAGAGAATCAGAACCAACATTTACTGCTGAAGTTCAGATGAATCCTGACATCCTGTTGTGGATTCAGCAGCATGGATCAGGATCAGGATCAGGATCAGGATGAGACCGTTCCTTTGCTCAGAGAGCAGAAGAAACGGAGCAGAGGTCAAAGGTGAGTCCAGGTTCTGAGACTGACTGAACTCAGCGCCGACATCACTGCGTCCTCAGCGTCTCTGTTGTTATTTTTGTGTTTCAGAGCAGAAGATCAACATCCCATCCCAACATGTCTGACTTGGTGTTGCTCACTCTGGTACCGTTTCAGTTTTTCTCCATTTCAAGAACTTTAACTATTTATCATCTAGGAAAGATTTTATGTTCAAGTGTTCATTTGGTTTTGTTTCTCCAAAATGTTAAAATCGATATGAACCCACAATGTCCTGTGAATATATTCAAACTCATATAAATGTCCCCAACATTTATCCAATGAGAGCTTAGAAAGAGAAACCAGAGCAAAACCAGCTCTGTGTGAAGAAAAACTGGTTAAAAACAAAACAAAAAGATCAAGAAAATGGAAAAAGCAGAAAAAAAATGACCAAAAGGTAAAAAAATGTGCATTTAATGCAAAAATACAGTAAATATAAATATACACAGAATTAAGAATATTATATTTTATAGCAAGAAAAAATTCACAGCATGAAAACTGATCAGTTGAAAATAAAAACCACATCTGCAGATATTAACCTGCAAACGTTTGGCTTTGGTTCCTGTTTTCCCAGCTGCACACAGAGACCGGACTCACCTGAGGCCCGACCTGTAACCCGACCAGAACCGGTGCCAGAACATCAGCCTAAATCTGCACTGGTACCAGAACCCGAGAATCTATCAGGATATGGACCCAACTCCGAACCAGAACCTCCATCTGAGACCTTCTCAGGATGTGGATCAGAACCGGTACCAGAACCTGACACCATGTTAGGGTTTGAACCAAAACCTGAACTTGTGTCTGGTGAATTAATGTCGGTACCAGAACCTGAGAAGTTATTGAGATATGAATCCAACAATCAGACGACCTCTGACCCTGGAATCAGTCTCTCGACCAATCAAAGGTAAGTTTGTCTGATGTTTGTGACAAACGTCACAATCAATACTTAATATTTCATAACTGCAGTTGTTCACCTGAAAACATCCTTTTTTCTTAAAATTGTATTTTTAGCCACAGTCAGAGACCGGACTCTCCAGAACCTCAACCTGGACCTCAGATTCTGTCCGGATACAAACCCAACACTGACCTGGTACCAGAAACCAAATCGGTTCATGAACCTGAACCAGGACCAGATGCTGAGGGTTCAGGGTTTGGACCCAACTCTGAACCTGAACCTCCATCTGAGACCTTATCAGGATGTGAACCTGGATCAGAACCGGTACCAGAACCGGACACCCGCTCAGAAACCCAATGGGTTTCTGAACCTGACTCAGTACCAGTACCTGGATCTGAGACTCTGTTGGGATTTGAACCTTTACCTCCAACCATCCCTGAACCTCCAGAGTTTCCCAACCCTGGAGATGATGATGATGATGATTATAATAATGATGATGATGATGATGATGATGAGGATGATGATGATCGCTCTGCCAGTCAAAGGTCAGTTGGTCTGAAATTCCTCATGTGTCTCAAATTTCATGGTGAAGTGGAAATAATTTATGTTTTATGAAAATATATTTTATATAACTGCAATTGATAACCCTAAATATTTTCCTTTTTTCTTACATATATTATTACAGAACCATTCCAGACTCTCCAGAACCACAACCTGGACCTCAGATTCTGTCCGGATACAAACCCAACACTGACCTGGTACCAGAAACCAAATCGGTTCATGAACCCGAACCAGGACCAGATGCTGAGGTATCGCCAGGGTTTCAACCCAAACCTGAAAATGAACCTCCATCTGAGACCTTATCAGGATCTGGACCAGAACTGGTACCAGAACCTGACAGCAAGTTGGGATCTGAACCTTTCCCTCATCCTCAGAGCATCTCTGAGCCTCCAGAGGGTTCTGGACCCGAAGCGGATCGCTCTACTGATGGATCCAAAGCGGATCCCTCTACCTATGGACCCGAAGCGGATCCCTCTACCTATGGACCCGAAGCGGATCGCTCTACCTATGGACCCGAAGCGGATCCCTCTACCGATGGACCCGAAGCGGATCCCTCTACCGATGGACCCGAAGCGGATCCCTCTACCGATGGACCCGAAGCGGATCCCTCTACCGATGGACCCGAAGCGGATCACTCTACCGATGGACCCGAAGCGGATCGCTCTACCGATGGACCCGAAGCGGATCCCTCTACCGATGGACCCGAAGCGGATCACTCTACCGATGGACCCGAAGCGGATCCCTCTACCGATGGACCCGAAGCGGATCCCTCTACCGATGGACCCGAAGCGGATCGCTCTACCTATGGACCCGAAGCGGATCCCTCTACCGATGGACCCGAAGCGGATCCCTCTACCGATGGACCGAGGCGGATCGCTCTACCGATGGACCCGAGGCGGATCCCTCTACCGATGGACCCGAAGCGGATCCCTCTGCCGATGGACCCGAAGCGGATCGCTCTACCGATGGACCCGAAGCGGATCCCTCTACCGATGGACCCGAAGCGGATCACTCTACCGATGGACCCGAAGCGGATCCCTCTGCCGATGGACCCGAAGCGGATCGCTCTACCTATGGACCCGAAGCGGATCCCTCTACCGATGGACCCGAAGCGGATCCCTCTACCGATGGACCCGAAGCGGATCGCTCTACCTATGGACCCGAAGCGGATCGCTCTACTATGGACCCGAAGCGGATCCTCTACCGATGGACCCGAAGCGGATCACTCTACCGATGGACCCGAAGCGGATCCCTCTACCTATGGACCAAGTCGGTGAGGTTGAAGCAAACACTCTGGAGTTGGAGAAAATTTAATTTGAGTTCAAGGTTATTCAACCGACAACCTGGAAACGTGAAGCTTCTTCCTGAATGATGACAGATTTGTGAACCAGCAGAATCAGACTGACGGTTGCAAGGTTATCATGGCGGAAACGCCTCCATGTTGTATGGAGAGTTGGAACAATTTGTGCCAACATTTTATTTCTGATAGAAACTATTGATATTTGTCATCAAACCTTTTCATTTGTTTGCAGTGTTTAAATTCCCAGAACCGATTCTGTGAAAAATACCAACAATAATGTTTCAGTTAAATCTCATCTTTAGGGCCTTCAGATAAATTAGGAAAAACTTCACAAACACACTGCAGCCTTCAGGATATTTGACATTTATTTATATAAATGTTGGCTGGTAAATCAAAACACAACCTGTAGATAAAAAATGAGTGATAAAGCGTTTACTGTTCATGGAGTGTGTTGAAAAAAATAACCCTGTAAAGTCTTTGTGGTCTTTAATGCTCAGTTTGGATTATTTTACTAAAACAACCTAAAAGTAAAATAATTATTTTTTTCCCTTGGAATCAGATTAAAGATCATTTTCATGATATAGCACATTTTCAGCAACAAGCCAATAAAAAGTGTTTTATAGGATTTAACAGGAAATACAAACAAAATAAACCAGAGGAAACAACAACAGAAGTAAAATGATCTGATGTTAATGTAAAGTTTCTCTCTACAGTTTCTAAAAAGTGTCGTATAAAAGTAACTAACTGTGAACTGTTAGATTGATCATGAAAATTCCTGATCAATCTGCTGATTGATCAGATTCTGCGCGTTGCAGCATCTCTTCCTCACCACCAGGGGGCAGCCTGAACACGGCTCTGAATCCAGTCCAGGTATTTCTCCACCCGGGTGTAGACGCCGTACACCCTCTGACTGCCGCAGTGCTCGGGCCCGGCCCAGGACACCAGGCCGAACACGGCCCACCTCCACCCCGCCTGCATCACGAACGCCCCCCCGCTGTCGCCCAGGCAGGTGTCCCGCCCGCCCTGGAAGAAACCCGCGCAAAACATGTTGTCTGTGATGTTGTAGCGGACGGAGCGGGAAGCGTAGCTGGCCTGACATTCGTCCTGAGGGACCACTGGCAGCTTCACGTATTGCAAGAGGTCAGAGGCCATCGCAGACGGGGTGGCGGAAGCGTTGGAGATGCCCCACCCAGCAACTACACCCAAAGAGTTGGGGAGGAGGGAGGACGGACGGTCCTGATGGAGACAGAGGACAAAGACAGGATCACATCATCAACCAGGAAGAGCAGCGGCTGAAAACATCACCTGTGTTTTTATTGATCCCTCCGACCCGTTTGGGCCGATTGAACCTGCAGCGAAACGTTTGTTTCCATGTTGGTTCGGATCCAGGCCAGAAAGCAGGTCTGGGTCCAACTGAGCGGTTCTGCTGGACCAACAGGGGAAACAAACTCTGGTCCGTTGCAGTGTCCCCATCTTGTCCCTCGGTAACCCCGTGTCCTGAACCCGCAACCCGGAGTCCGCTGCTCACCGGTCGGTGAGCCGGCGGCAGGCAGACGGGACGGACCAGCCGGTTAAACTCCGCCTCCTCGCTCAGCTTCAGCAGGGCGATGTCGTTGTCGTAGTTGTCGGGCTGAAAGTCCGGATGGAGGACGATCTGATCGACGGAGCGGCCGACGGACATCTGTTTGTCTCTCAGGCTGTGGAGGCCGAGGAAAACCTGAGGGACAGAAAGACCCGACTGAGACATGGAGACGGCATCGACCTCACGTCTCAGGAACAAACATCCACCTTCACGTGACGCGGGATCACCGGGACGACGGTGGCGTCTCTCCTCTGGGACCGCAGGATGTGGGCAGCGGTCAGGATCCAGGACTGAGACAGCAGGGCCCCGGAGCCAAACCAGCGGTCCTCAGGGACCCGGGACAGGTCCTCCACACTGAGCAGAACCTGCCAGGGGAAGAAACCGGGCTCAGCGCTCCGACCGCCCACGATCCGCTTCACCTGGTGGGGGAGAGAACGAGACGGCAGGCCGCAGGCTGGAGGACAGGGAGGAGACAGAGAGACAGGGAGACAGGGAGGAGACAGAGAGACAGGGAGACAGGGAGGAGACAGAGAGACAGGGAGACAGGGAGGAGACAGAGAGACAGGGAGACAGACAGACAGAGAGACAGAGGGGAGACAGAGAGACAGAGAGAGACAGGGAGACAGAGGGGAGAGAGACAGGTCACTTTCTCAGCAAAAAGACTGGAAAAAACAGATAAGATAAATTTAAAAACACAGACAGAAACAGACAAACAGATGCCGAGGAACAGACTATGGAGCTAAATTAGAGCCATAAAGTTTGTTCAAAAAATAAAAAAAAAAACAACTGAAAAAAAATTTAAATCTGAAAAATTCACATTTTTTAGATTTTTCAGGTTTCAGTGTTTAAAATTTAAATTTTTCAGATTTACATTGAACTTTTCAGATTCGAGGCTTTTTATTTAGTTTCAGATTTTTTTCTTTTGAACAAACTTTTTGGCCTTGCTTTAGCTCCATAACAAGCAGAGAGGCAGGTGAGCAACTATTCATACCTGGCAGACAGACAGGAAGTTCTGTTCCTCCATCAGCATCCAGCCACTCACCTGCAGGGCCACACCTGAACGAAGCTGCAGCGCAGAAAGAAATCAGCTCTTTGGTTTGTTTAGACATGAAAATGAAATAAATAAACAGTCAAATTTGCCTCTGTGAACAAAAATCACTCATTAAGCTAAATATTAAAATCTCAATTAATTTAGTTAATTAACCCGATGACATCATCGCCCTCTTACTGCTGCTCAGCTGGACGCCGTCGTCTCCACAGACATAATGAACCGTCGCTCCAAACAGCGTGCTGTTGTCATGGCGACCAAACATCACAACAGCTCCAGCAACTTTCTTAGGAATCCCACAATCCACCACTGCAACAGACGTGAGTCAGCGACGAATCAGCTTCCTGGACGGTCAAACAGCGGGAACGTAACCCAGGTGTTAAAGGGACAGTCCAGGGTTTTAAGGTGGGGGTTCTGTGGGGTGTTTATCAGCAGTCAGTATCTTACCTGCAGCACACAGAAGTTTAAGAAAACGTCGGCCTCCTGGTGGCTCCTGAGGATGTCGACGAATGTTTTATAGGTTTTATGTCATCAGCTTCATTTCATTTGGTAGCTTTTACATCCAACAAACACTTTTCTGTTAATGTCTCCGTCACATTTTTTAGTTAATTTAACAGGTTTTTTAATTTTTTTTTATTTTTTACATAAATAGTCCAGCTGAACCTTTTATCTGGTTGGAATAACTTTGGAAACCTGAAGTATTATTTCAGTAATACTTCAGGTTTTACACATTTCAATGCCGCAGATATAATCAAATACAGTGAGAGTAAAGTTATATTCTGTGTAATTCCTAACGGACAGAAACATAATCATTTTTACTTCATGTTTGTTTCCTTCGCTCAGTAAATGTGTGGAATACTTTTAAATATTTCAAAAATATTTGAAAAAAAAGAAGCTTGGGAAATTGAAATGTACAGAAGCAATACAACTCGACGCACTATTGGCGAGTTTATCAGAGCAGCAGGTATGTGTTTCCATCTCCTCTAATGCAAAACTCTTTTCTGGAGAATCCCAAAAACCACCTCGAGCCACTGCAAAAACTTTATTGTAAAATTGAGGAAGTTATTTTGTCATTTCCATCAATATTTTTAGTCTTAATAAGGTGCGTAAAAAACGTTGATGAAAATGGATTTTGGCAAATTGGCCCAAATCTGCAACACCAGAGGTCCAAACAAAATCTCCTATTTCCCAACAACAGCACCCCCTGCTGGTGTCTGCAGGTGAAACAAATTACTCTGTATTACAGTTAGCAGGATTAAACACTGCAGCTTCTCACTAATTTAATAATCTGTAATGATTAAGTCTGAGTGTAAAACAAGAGGCCAGGTACAGAAACTGGAGGTCTGCTGAGTGAAATTCCAGAATCTCCATATTGGTCAGGAAACATGTCCGCCAGCGGCTCTGAGCTCAGATCCGAGTCTTACTGTCACAGTGAGGAGGACGGCCGCTCCACGAGCCGTCAGCCTGGCATTCCAGCTGGAGACGATCCGACGTCCCACCGTCCTGCAAATGCATCACACCATGGAGCATGAAGTCTTTCCTGCAACTGCTGGAAACCCTAACCCCATCCAAACCCTATCCTAACCCTAACCCCATCCAAACCCTACCCTAACCCAACATATGATTTCTTTATTAAAAATCCTTCTTTAATGCCCAAATGCAGTGGAGGGCAGTGCTAACTAAAATGTTAGCTGTGCTAACGCTAAAGCACAGACCATAAACATTAGTTCTGCTAAAGCTAAAAGCTACACCAACAAAAGTTAAAGCACTAAATTTGGCCATATTGACACTCACCTCAAAATAAGAGTCTTAACATAAATATCTGACTATTTGAAGAATTTCTTACAGTCAAGAACCAAAACTTCAACACAAATGTTGAACTTTAATAATTTAAAATTAACAAAAAACTGAGGAAATTAGCGTTTAGCATTTAGCTGGAAAAAATCTTTTAGGGCAAGTTGATTGAGCTAAATGTTTTTAAAGTTTGCAAAAAGGTTAAAGCACTAAACAAAAAATGTTCTCTGCTTTTAGCACATTAGCAGGTTAGCAGAAGTTTTTGGTTTCCATTAATCCAAAATCATCAAAACATTTTCTCCATAATTCAGGAGTTTCTGTTTTTTATTCTGATTAACTAAAATAAATAAAGTTTAATCAAATTTAATCTAATGGCTCAAATAAAACCTGCAGGAAGTCAGGAGCCAATGAGACTCTGTGTTGACCAGTGAGAACCTCTCTGGCTGCTCCCAGTTCACCCACTGGTTCCAGTTTCAGTTCCCAGTGGAGCAGAGCCTCACCTGGACCAGGAGGAACCCCTGCTGACAGCTGAACACCACATGGTCCTTGAAGGAGTATTCTGTTTGGATCGGAACCATCACCGCGTTGGGCGGAACCTCAGGTACTGGACACTGACTTCCTGTAATTTCAAAATAAAAGCCTGATTTCTCTCTCCACACCAGCCCCGTAGCCCCGCCCCCTGCCTGGTGGACCCACCTGTGGCGCTGTAGCTCAGCCTCCAGCCGAGGTTTTCTCCAGAATCGTCGCTGTGGAATCGGATGGAGACGACGTTGCTGTCGGTCCAGATGATTCCTGGAGACTGAGCGCCACAGAACGGGCCGAACTCTCTGCTTCCTGCTTGGATCTGAGACACACACACGCACACACACACACACACACACACACACACACACACACACACACACACACACACACACATCATCACCTCAGAGTGTGTGAACCATGTCCTTATAGCCTTGTGTGCTTGTGTGTGTGTGTGTGTGTGTGTGTGTGTGTGTGTGTGTGTGTGTGTGTGCGTGTGTGTGTGTGTGTCTGTGTGTGTGTGTGCTTGTGTGTGTGTGGTGTGTGTGTGTGTGTGTGTGTGTGTGTGTGTGTGTGTGTGTGTTTTCCATTATACTTAATTTCATTTTGTTTTGACTTTTGGTCTCATTCAGTTTTAATTAGTTTTTAGTGTTTTCTAGTTTTTATTAATTATTACTTAAATATTTAGTTTTTATTAGCGTTTTAGAATTTTACCTTTTTTAATTATGCGCCTAAAATTGAACCAAAGTAATGTGATTATGAACACATCAAATGGTTCATAAATACTCAATAGAGGAAACCATTTTCAGAAAACGTATCCAGTTATTCTTGAATAACCAGCTGACTGGAGTTTCTCCCAACTTTTGCCGTTTCCAGTTTTTGTTCAGCGCCGTGATTTACCAGCAGCTGACATAAAACATCTATTTCACATCAGCATGAAAAGCAAATAAATGGATGAATGAACACAGAAATGAAGGATGTTGTATTTATAATTTCAGTATGTTTCAGTTTTATAAACATAGTTCCAATTGGTTTGAGTTTTTCCTCATTATTTCCTTTTTTTTATTTATTTCAATGAATTAAATGTTTTCTCAGTTTCAGTTCTTGTTAGTTTTGGTGACCTGCGTGTGTTTGTCTCACCTTCAGGTGGTCGTAGGGACAGCTGATGTCTGGGTGGCTCTCCACGTCAAAGCGGGGGTCAAAGTTCATCTGGACCCTGAACCCAGCCTCCAGCTCGATGCGGTACCAGCAGTCAGAGCTCTTCGGATACGGACCCGGAAAGTTAACGCTGCTCAGAACGCCGGAGCGTTCCCTGAACACGGCACCGCTGCAGTCCACTGGACACACACACACACACACACACACACACACACACACACACACACACACACACACTTAGCTTCCTCCTCCACACTGAAATGTCTTCATCATGTAAACATTTCCACCAATCAGCAGCTGTTATCAGCCACACTGAGGTCTCATGGGCCTGGGCCCCTGAGGCCCCTGATGGTTTGGTGTCAGTGAAATTAAGTGAATGTTTACTGGTTATAATGGTTTAACTGGTTGAAAACCATTTGACTTGTCACTGCTGCATGAGTTCTGAATCCATGTTGTTCCTTTTGCTCTCTGCTGGTTTCAGGACTGAATCAGTCAGACAGCAACACTAAACACTAAACACTAAAACACTAAACACTGAACACTAAAACACTAAACACTAAAACACTAAACACTAAACACTAAAACACTAAACACTAAAACACTAAACACTAAAACACTAAACACTAAAACACTAAACACTAAACACTAAAACACTAAACACTAAACACTAAAACACTAAACACTAAAACACTAAACACTAAAACACTAAACACTAAAACACTAAACACTAAAACACTAAACACTAAAACACTAAACACTAAAACACTAAACACTAAACACTAAACACTAAAACACTAAACACTAAAACACTAAACACTAAACACTAAAACACTAAACACTAAACACTAAAACACTAAACACTAAAACACTAAACACTAAAACACTAAACACTAAAACACTAAACACTAAACACTAAAACACTAAACACTAAAACACTAAACACTAAACACTAAAACACTAAACACTAAAACACTAAACACTAAAACACTAAACACTAAACACTAAACACTAAAACTAAACACTAAAACACTAAACACTAAACACTAAAACACTAAACACTAAACACTAAAACACTAAACACTGAATCTAACCCAGTAACTGTCCTGTTTCCAGGGAGAATATCTACAAATTTCTAGAAGCTTGTTTTGCATCAGTAATGAAAAACTCCAGGGTCGCACTATTTAACTTGGAATATTGTAAAAATGTCTCGTTATGAAGTAAATGCAGGCTCCAGTTGGGCCTCCAGGTGGCGCCAACACACTCACCTCTGCAGGTGTGGTTGTCTGTGTGCAGCTGGTAACCATAGCGACAGGAGCAGTAGTATCCCCCGATGAAATTATGGCAGAAATGATCGCAGAGCAGATCCTTGTCGCCATGTTCGCTGCACTCGTCTATATCTGCAGAAGAAGAAGAAAGGTCAGAGTTCAGGCTCTGATGTGTTCAAGCAGCAGGAAGAGGTCGGCTATCACACTACTCAGAAAATATCTCACAAATTTATGATTTTAAGCGTGAAAAATATGTTATTTCTTAACTTTTGGACATCAGACAGTAATGAGATTTTCTCCTCTGTGGCCAAATAATTTTCTTTTTATCTAGAATGACCATAAGACGGAGAAAATCAGAAAACCAGTGGCAGGCGCTGCTAGCTAAAATGTTAGCGGTGCTAACCTCAAAGCGCTAATTATAGATCAGCTACACTGATGCTAAAGCGCTGTTTTAGTTTAAGCTAATGCTGAAGCACTAATCATAAACATAGTCTTTAGCGGAAGCTAATGCTAACACAAGCAAATGCTAACGTGTCACAATGAGAACATGAGGAATAATCCGTATGCATCCAATTTGTTTAACACTTTTGGTTCTAATGCAAGTGCTGCATATAAATGCTGCAACTCAATAGTATATAAATCATATAAATCGCTCTATAAAAAGCGTCTGGACATCTCAGGGTTCCTCCCTGAATGTTTTATCTGACTCGCTAACCGTCAGGTTCTTTTCCTGAAGCAGAACTTCAGGAACCGGCTGTTTGGGTTTCCTCACCCACTGCGCTATAATGAGCCACGAATCCGGAGAACTGCTCCTCGTTGGAGAAGTCCGACACAAACTGGACGCTGAGCGAGTTTCTGGGGGAGGTGATGACCCGCTGGGCCGGTACCGCCTCGGTGTCCGTCTCCTCCTTCCCACAGAACAGAGCCAGCGCTTCTCCGTCCACCTTCACCTGCACAACAACGCAGCGGGTCAGACTGAAGAACCAGAGATCTGGATCAGAACCACAAAGTTCTGACTCTAAGTAATCTGATGTTTGCAGTCAGAACATCAAGCCAGCTTCCACCAAGCCTCAAATGGGTCAAACTGGAACCATTAACCTCCCAGAGATCTGAGTCCATCAGGGCTCGGTCCAAACCGGGGAGAGAAAACAGACCAGCAGCTCTGTTTACATTCAGCTGCTGTTTATCTGACTGAGAGACTGGAAGGGTCAACGGACCAGAGGGCGCCGACACACACCGACACACACCGACACACACCGACACACACCGATACACACTGACACACACCGATACACACCGACACACACCGACACACACCGACACACACCGATACACACCGACACACACCGACACACACCGACACACACCGACACACATCGACACACACCGACACACACCGACACACATCGACACACACCGACACACACCGATACACACCGACACACACCGACACACACCGATACACACCGACACACATCGACACACACCGACACACACCGATACACACCGACACACACCGACACACACCGACACACACCGACACACACCGACACACACCGACACACACCGACACACACTGATACACACCGACACACACTGACACACACCGACACACACTGACACACACCGACACACACCGACACACACTGATACACACCGACACACATCGACACACACTGACACACACCGATACACACCGATACACACCGACACACACCGATACACACCGACACACACCGATACACACCGACACACACCGACACACACCGACACACACCGACACACACCGACACACACTGACACACACAGACACACACCGACACACACCGATACACACTGACACACACCGATACACACCGACACACACCGACACACACCGACACACACCGACACACACACTGACACACACCGACACACACCGACACACACCGACACACACACTGACACACACCGACACACACCGATACACACCGACACACACCGACACACATCGACACACACCGACACACACCGACACACACCGACACACACCGACACACACTGATACACACCGACACACACTGACACACACCGACACACACTGACACGACACACACCGACACACACTGACACACACCGACACACATCGACACACACTGACACACACCGATACACACCGACACACACCGACACACACCGACACACACCGACACACACCGATACACACCGACACACACCGACACACACCGACACACACCGACACACACCGACACACACTGACACACACAGACACACACCGACACACACCGATACACACTGACACACACCGATACACACCGACACACACCGACACACACCGACACACACACTGACACACACCGACACACACCGACACACACCGACACACACACTGACACACACCGACACACACCGATACACACCGACACACACCGACACACACCGACACACACCGATACACACCGACACACACCGACACACACCGATACACACCGACACACACCGACACACACCGATACACACCGACACACACCGACACACACCGACACACACCGACACACACACTGACACACACCGACACACACCGACACACACCGACACACACCGACACACACTGACACACACCGACACACACCGACACACACCGACACACACGATACACACCGACACACACCGACACACACCGATACACACCGACACACACGACACACACCGACACACATCGACACACACCGATACACATCGACACACACCGACACACACCGATACACACCGACACACACCGACACACACCGACACACACCGACACACACCGACACACACCGACACACACTGACACACACTGACACACACCGACACACACCGACACACACCGATACACACCGACACACACCGATACACACTGACACACACCGATACACACTGACACACACCGATACACACCGACACACACCGACACACACCGACACACACCGATACACACCGACACACACCGACACAGCATGACATCGACACACACTGACACACACTGATACACACCGACACACACCGATACACACTGACACACACCGACACACACCGACACACACTGACACACACCGACACACACCGACACACACAGACACACACCGACACACACCGACACACACCGACACACACGACACACACCGACACACATCGACACACACTGACACACACCGACACACATCGACACACACCGATACACACCGACACACACGACACACACCGACACACATCGACACACACTGACACACACTGACACACACCGACACACACCGACACACACCGATACACACCGATCCAGTTCCCAGATCCAGGAAGTTCCCGGTGTTACTATCTTACCTTGACGAAGTCATACTGGCACAGGTAGGACGGCTCCAGGTCAAAGTGGCTGAAGAACAACGTGATCCGGAATCCGTCCGGAACGCTGATGGTCCAGTTCCGCTCGGTGTCTGTGGGATACGGGTCGGGGAAGTTTGGAGACTCCAAGCTGCCGTACATCTCCGACTGTAGCTGAGCGCCGCATCCGAACCGGACCAGCAGGGAGAGGAGGAAAACCCTGAGGCACAGAGACAACCGGGTCAGAACCGACCAGACCGGAACAGAACAGAGGGACGGGCATTTATCAGTAAATCTGAAAATATGATTAAATATCATTACCATGTGATATTAGCATGACAGCTAATTTCACAAACATATGTATAACTGATATAACAAATAAATAACTGACTAATTATTTAGTAAATCTGGGTTATTTAAATCACTTCTTCAGTAAATATTGTCCTGCTGCAGCTGATTCCAGAATCATCAATATTTGTTATTCTGTCACGATGGCTGTCATGGTTACCGAACAAATATACAATAGTTTTTCACCATCATTATAACAACAATAACACAAAATATTGTGATTAAATTCTCCAGCTCGTCGTCTGGATCTCAACTGGATCAGAACCATTTCTAAAAGAATCATTGGTGGGTTGGGCACCAAAAGCGGCTCCAGCTGGAGCCCGGGGCCCAAACGGTTCTGGATCCGGCCCTGCTCCTGATCAATTTGACCCAAATCTTTCACCCAGACGCCACCTGAAAGTCAATCAATAACTGATCATTTGATCAGGAACTGATCACAGATCAATATTAGACTCACCTCATGATGAAGGACTAAAGTTCTGCTGCTCCGGCTCCGTCCGTCTGGACCGAATCCGGACCTGCTGGAGAGGCGTGGCTCTGACATGATCACGTGATTCATGCGAGACAGATTCAACGAATGACGTAACAGCTCCCTCTGCTGGCCGAGCAGGGACGTCACAGTTCAGGGCTTCTGGTTCCGACCACCTGCAGTTCAGAACCAGAACCGTTTCTGGCTTCCAAAACGTTTGAAACCGACAACCTTTGACCCCACAAAGGTTGTGAGGTTCTGATCGAACCTCAAATTAAACAGAACCAAGAAAAACAGACATGATCATCATCATCATCATCATCATCATCTGAAAACGTTCACTCATCGGAACCGCAGCTCCACAGAGCCGCCGGTCCAAAGTTCGGTTCCGGTCGGGACCGAGACAGTGAGCCGTCTGTCCCACTTTACGGGACACCTCTGACCCGTCCGGGAGGTAATTGGACCCTCTGTTGCCATGGTGACGGCGGAGCGGAGGCGTCATCCGATCCGGTCCCGTTAAAGTTCTCATTGACCGCCGGTTCTGTGGGGATAGTCCTGGTGCTGTTGGTCGGGTTGAACAGAATCTCCTCCTCCTCCTCCTCCTCCTCCTTCTCCTCTTCCTCTTCCTCCTCTTCCTCCTCCTCCTCTCCTTCCTCTTCCTCCTCCTCTTCTCCTCCTCCTCTCCCTCCTCCTCCTCCCTCTCCTCCTCCTCCTCTTCCTCCTCCTCCTCCTCCTCTTCCTCCTCCTCCTCTTCTCCTCCTCCTCCTCCTCCTCCTCCTTCTCCTCTTCCTCTTCCTCCTCCTCTTCCTCCTCCTCCTCTTCCTCTTCCTCTCCTCCTCCTCCTCCTCCTCTTCCTCCTCTTCCTCCTCCTCTCCTCCTCTTCCTCCTCCTCCTCCTCCTCCTCTCCGCCATCGCCATGCCGAACCGACAGAAGCAGGTTCTGTTCAGCTGCGCCGGCCTCCTGAGCCTCTGTTGCGCCCTGTCGGCTGCTGTCGTCACCGGGCTGCCCTACTGGCTCCGCGGGGTCGTGCTCTGCCGAACCGGAGCCGAGCTGGTCAACGCCACCGGAGCCGAACTGGACCAGTTCCTGGGGCAGCTGAGCTTCGGGCTTTTCCACGGGGAGCGGGTGAAGCAGTGCGGCCTGGGCGGCAGGCCGTCCCGGTTCTCATGTGAGTCCAACCGGGTCCACGGGTCGGAACCAGCCGCTCCTTAAAGAACATGACAGAAACTTTGATAAAATTATGTTGACTCTGACTTTGTAAAGTGAAAAATGATCAAAATCACATTTTTACCTTCATTAATTTTAAATGTCAGTTTCAGACTCAAATGACAAATATTCAGTTCCTAACTATACATTTTATTTCCAACTAAATATTTATTCATTTAAAAGTTAGTCTAAACTAAATATTTAGTTCTAAACTAAATATTTAGTTCTAAACTAAATATTTTGTGAACTTATTATTAGGTTAAATTTAAATATTTGGTTTTGAACTAAATATTTAGCTTCAAAATAAATATTACATCACAATATTACTAAACCCAAATTAACTTCCCAAATAAAATATTTAAATTGAAGCTAAATATGTAATTAGTGAACTAAACATTTAAGTTGCAATAAATATTTAGCTTTATAATAAAATGATAGTTTAAAACTCATTTATGAACAAATGAATAACTTGGTGAAAACATGAATATTTATCTTATTGAATTATTGCTGCTCATTTCTGACAAAAATAAAATCATCCAGGATTTGTTTTCATCCAAACTGAACCCAAACAGCCGAACCGGTTCCGACCACAAGGTGGCGCTGAAAGCAGAACAGAAAATGGATTCAAGCAGCGAAGATCCAGAAGTTATTCAGTCAAAACCAGTTTGATTAAATTCAGTCTCTCATGTGATTCTGGTTCTGGTTCTGATTCTGATTCTGGTTCTGGTTCTGGTTCTGGTTCTGATTCTGATTCTGGTTCTGGTTCTGATTCTGGTTCTGGTTCTGATTCTGGTTCTGGTTCTGGTTCTGATTCTGGTTCTGGTTCTGGTCTGATTCTGCTTCTGGTTCTGGTTCTGTTTCTGGTTCTGATCTGGTTCTGATTCTGATTCTGGTTCTGATTCTGATTCTGATTCTGGTTCTGGTTCTGATTCTGATTCTGGTTCTGATTCTGGTTCTGGTTCTGATTCTGGTTCTGGTTCTGATTCTGGTTCTGGTTCTGGTTCTGGTTCTGGTTCTGATTCTGGTTCTGGTTCTGATTCTGGTTCTGGTTCTGATTCTGGTTCTGGTTCTGATTCTGGTTCTGGTTCTGATTCTGGTTCTGGTTCTGATTCTGGTTCTGGTTCTGATTCTGATTCTGGTTCTGATTCTGGTTCTGGTTCTGGTTCTGTTGCTCTGAGGCAGATAACATGGTCTCTGAATGAAGCAGAACCTGAACCCGGAGCGGTTCTGTGAACATGATGTCGGCTCCGTCCTCCAGACTGGGACCATTAACTGGCTACTGGTCCCAGTTAATGGAGCCACCATCCGTCACTAACACGCTTTCCGGATGAGTGGGCCGGATCAGAACCGCTCTGTGACAATAATGAGGAGGATGACATCACAGGACTGTGATGTCATCATCTGAGAACAATAATTCATTTACAATCAGGCAACGAATAATTAATGAATCGACTAATTGAGTAAAAAACAGTTTCATCCTCAAGCCTTTTATAAAGTACAATAACAGCTTCATTTTAGTGAACATTTGATCATTTGGGATAAATAAAGTATTGTTTAGTGTTGCCATGTTGCCATGTGTTGCCATGTTGGGATGAGAATAAACCTCCATCTCTTCTTCTCCTCCAGTTTTCCCAGACCTGCTGGCCGGAATCCCGGCCGGCCTCCACGTCTCCATCGTCTTCTTCTGCAGCGTCGTGGTCGTCTTCTCCTCCGTGGCCTCCGGGTTCTTCTTCTTCAACGCCTTCGGCCGGCCCTACGAGACGCTGCAAGGCCCCATGGGACTTTACCTGTGGACCTGCGTCTGCTGTGAGGAACAGCTCACTGTTTCACTGATTCACTGATTCACTGTTTCACTGATTCACTGATTCACTGTTTCACTGATTCACTGTTTCACTGATTCACTGTTTCACCGATTCACCGATTCACCGATTCACCGTTTCACCGATTCACCGATTCACCGTTTCACCGATTCACCGTTTCACCGTTTCACCGATTCACCGTTTCACTGATTCACTGTTTCACCGATTCACCGTTTCACCGTTTCACCGATTCACCGTTTCACCGATTCACCGATTCACTGTTTCACTGATTCACTGTTTCACTGATTCACTGTTTCACTGATTCACTGATTCACTGTTTCACTGATTCACTGATTCACTGTTTCACTGATTCACTGATTCACTGTTTCACTGATTCACTGTTTCACCGATTCACCGATTCACCGTTTCACCGATTCACCGTTTCACCGATTCACCGATTCACCGTTTCACCGTTTCACCGATTCACTGTTTCACCGATTCACTGATTCACTGTTTCACTGTTTCACTGATTCACTGTTTCACTGATTCACTGTTTCACTGATTCACTGTTTCACTGATTCACTGTTTCACTGTTTCACTGTTTCACTGTTTCACTGATTCACTGATTCACTGATTCACTGTTTCACTGATTCACTGTTTCACTGATTCACTGTTTCACTGATTCACTGTTTCACTGTTTCACTGATTCACTGTTTCACTGATTCACTGATTCACTGTTTCACTGATTCACTGTTTCACTGATTCACTGTTTCACCGATTCACCGATTCACCGTTTCACCGTTTCACCGATTCACCGTTTCACTGATTCACTGATTCACTGTTTCACTGATTCACTGATTCACTGTTTCACTGATTCACTGATTCACTGTTTCACTGTTTCACCGATTCACCGATTCACCGTTTCACCGTTTCACCGATTCACCGATTCACCGTTTCACCGATTCACCGATTCACCGTTTCACCGTTTCACCGATTCACCGTTTCACCGATTCACCGATTCACCGTTTCACCGTTTCACCGATTCACCGTTTCACCGATTCACCGATTCACCGTTTCACCGATTCACCGTTTCACCGATTCACCGTTTCACCGATTCACCGATTCACCGTTTCACCGATTCACCGATTCACCGTTTCACCGATTCACCGATTCACCGATTCACCGATTCACCGTTTCACCGATTCACTGTTTCACTGATTCACTGATTCACTGTTTCACCGATTCACCGATTCACCGATTCACCGTTTCACCGATTCACTGTTTCACTGATTCACTGATTCACTGATTCACTGATTCACTGTTTCACTGATTCACTGTTTCACTGATTCACTGATTCACTGTTTCACTGGGAGGCTTTAGGAACTCGGGTCATTTGGGGTTAATTACATTGAAATAATTAAATCTGCAATAGTTATAACACTAATTTATTTTTTTCAAACATATATTTGTATGAGACAATTTTCCTGAGGAAATATAAATGGGTCAAATAGGAAAAAGAAAAGAAAACTAAATAGAAAAGTAAAGAAAATTTAAAAAATAAAAAATGAAGAGTATTTAAACTGAGATTTCTTATTTAATTATTTAATTCATAACTATTGGAAGCTTGCTACAAAATTTTGCTCAATATGTGAATTTAAATGTACATTTCTGTGACAGAAGAAGTTAATAATCTATTTATCATCTTTAGTTTGAGCCTGTCGTCCTTTTTCTGCCTCATCAGTGAAGTCAGGAAGTTTCTGTGAGGAGGTGAATATTGGAGGAGTTTCTCTAATCAAGTCTTCACTGATTAATTATGGATCAGTCGGTCTGAGGACGATAACAGCAGCAATTACAGAACCGGAGCTGCAAGCGGGAGACGGATCAGAACAAAGGAGGCAGGAGACCGGGCTGGGGGCGGGGCTTAGAGGGAGGCGATCAGAGTTTCACTGATCAGAGAACAAACAGTAGAAACTGGATCAGATATCGATATTGGCCCAAAGTTTCATATCAGTGCATCTCCAGTCAGAGACATCAGAGTGATTTGGACTTCTCCAGCTGCTGCCCCGTACCGGTTCTGGTTCTGGTTCTGAACAGCTGCCTCTGTTGGTCCTGCAGGTGCGACCAGCTGCCTGGTTCTGATCCTGTTTGCCTCGGAGGTGAAGATCCACCGCCTCTCTGAGCTCATCTCCAACTTCAGGGAGGAGAACTTTGTTTTCCAGACGCACCTTGAACGCTACGACCGCTGCTTCTGGATCTTCTTCCTCATCCTCATCCTCCACGGACTCAACCTGGTTCTGATCCGGCTCACGGGGATCGAGTTCCCGTTCCGGGGGAAGAAAGACGTGGAGCTGAGCGGCGGCGCGGCCGACCTCATGTACTGATGGACTCGCTGCTGCAGTCCAATCAGTCATTGATTATTGATCAGAACCTGAACGATCGGGTCGAATCTGGATGATCCGACTGATTCTTTATTAATTCTGTTTGTAACTTTTTTTAGAGGAAAATAAACTTGTTCTGACTAAATTTGTTGTTTCTCTCTGGATTTATTGATTCTGTAAAAACATCAAATCTTACCAAATATTATTGTTTAGTTTGTAGCATAAATGTTTTAGTTCACATGAACTAAACAAACATTTCACCAACATATGAGATTAATTTCTTAACATTGATGTTGAAAACAGATTATTTCATTTTTCCCATTTTAAGTGAAATAATCTGCTGAAATTTTGTTGCTAGGTAACGAGCTGGGCGCTACCGGGGTTGCTAGGTAACTGTTGTGAAAACAGTGCAATAATCTATTTATCAGAAATATTGATAAACATAAATGTATATTTCTTAGTGAAACGTTTTCACAGAAACGAGATAAAATTAAATTCTTGGTCATATTTCGTGTTTTCATGATTGAAACGTTTGGATCCAAGTTCACATCCCAGTAGAACCTCAGAACCTCCTGCTCTCTCTGAACCCGGAGGTTCTGTTGATCAGCAGGGATCAGGGATTGATCCACGACAGGCCGGTCCTACCGGGCCCAACAGTTCTGCCGACTGTGGGAGTCGGACCGGACCGGGCTCTGAAGGACCCTGCTGGTTCTTTTCTTTGACCCGTCTGTCCCCCGCGGTGACACCAAACCTGATCGTCCGTCTCCAGACGAAGACGCGTTGACAGAAAGATAGAATCGAACAATCGGGCCTGGCGGGCCCGGATCCTCCCGGTTCTGCAGGGGGTTGGTGTCCAGTTCTTTAATTGTGTCTTCCTCAGCGGGACGGCCAATTAAAGGCCAGGATTTCATCCGAGTGACTGCAGACTGAGACGCAGATGGACCCCCTCTGATCCGAGAATCAGGAAGATGAAGGTTCTCCAGAATCTGGACGGATCCAAACCCAACTGGTGCAGCACCAGTCAGAGTCGGTCCAGCCAGTCTCTGCTGTCCTGGTGCTGCTGACGTCCAGATTACGAATCGGCTGCAGGTAAGATCCTGATCGACCTGATCGATTGATCTCTGATTGGCTGATCGGGTCATTAAAATCATTCTGCTCCAACTGAAGAAGGTTTGAGTTGAGATGTGAAGTTTGCAAAGTTATACAGTTAAAAATTACAATCAATAATTTGGGTTATTAACCATAACTAAAATTAGAGATTCATTTTTCAAATCAATATTTTTAGTATGTTAGTTATTTATTTACACATGCCACAGTTTCAAGCGAAACATTTATCAATTTAAAACATTTTTAGTTTACAAACATTTTATTAGGAAATTAAATATTTAGCTCAAACTAGTTATTTTGTGAAAAATGTTGAAACTGAACATTTATAAACTGAACGAACTACATTCTTAGTTTGGGGATAAATATTAATTTTACAAACTCAGCATATAATCTGTAAATCAAATATTTAATTTAGCTACATTTTTATTTAGTAAACTATATATTTAGCTCAACAACTAAGTGTTTGTCTTGCAAGGTAAATGTTTGGCTCACAAACTGAATATTTAGTTAAAATATTGAGCCAAACGTTTAGTGATATTAGTGTGTATAAATCCTGTTTGTGTCTGCAGATGGAGGCGGAGCTTCAGAACATCCTGGTCCAGGTCTCTGACCTGCAGCAGAGGAGGAAAGTTTTCACTCTGCACTCAAAACATCTGACTAATTAAATGACTAACTGTTCATTTCTTCACCGTCTGACCAGGAATCAGTTTGTTTCTCCCATCAGGCTGCAGTCCGACCACAGCATGGTGAGACCATTCACTGTTCAGTCATCACCTGTTTCACCTGCTGCTCCAAAACCAAACAACCAACAACTAAAACATTAACAGCAATAATCTAGAATATTTAGTTTGTCATAGTTTTACATTCATAAATGTCAGTTTGAAACTCAATATTTAATTAGCAGGAGTTAAACTAAGTTTGAAGCAAAATATTTTGCCTCAAACTAAACATCCAGCTTGTTAGTTAAATATGTAGCTTAAGGCTAAATATTCCACTTGCTAACATCTTAGCTTGCAACAAATAATTAGTTTTCAGCTAAATATTTGGCTTACTTATTGTTTAGTTTGGGACTAAATATTTAGTTTTCAACTTAAGTATTTATTTTGGATGTTTATGAATTAATGGGTAACATGACTTTCTGCTGTGACAGTTTCAATAATTCAAATCAATAAATTGTTCTAATGGTTCATTTTTCTAACGCCCCCTGCAGGATCCTCCATGGTAAAACAGTTTTGTAAACGCTGAACCTGTTACAGGTTCTATTTGAGTCAGTTCGGTCTCGGTTCTAATTAGGTTCTGGTCCAGGACTGGGTCACTCTGCCCTCTGCTGATGCAGGTCAGGTACTGCAGCTGGCTCCATTTTCACCTTGCAGGTGATCAGGTGTCACTCAGAGAAGATTCAGTTTCACTGCTGCACCAACCTGCTGCTGTTACTCCCAGGTGTGCAGCAGAACCGCAGCCCGTTCAGGATTGGTCGGGTTCAGGAACCAGAACCATGGGCCCAAACAGAGCTGATGTTTGAGGTTCTGGCTCTGGTTCTGACAGAGGTATTTTGTGGTGATGACGGACTCTGGGTTGGACTACATCGAGTTGCTGCAACACGAAGTCACCAAGAACTCAGATGTGAGTCGTTACAGAATCCAACGGGTTTCCAGAATCCGTCAGACTGAAACATCTTGAAACCTCGTTTTTCTTTCTCGCTTCTGTTTTAAGGAATTTATATCTTACAGAACAAGGAAAGGATTTGTTTCTTTTCTGATTCCACATCTTAAACATCTGAGTCTAAATTCTCCAACAGACTCCACTGGGTTCAGTCCAGCAGCCGTAATCTCTTCTTCCTCAGCCGTGACTCTGGAATGTGGTTTTCCCCTTTGGGGGCGAGAAATCCCTGGATGTCCCAGGAAAAGATACATTCCTGAAGGCATCAGGTGTTGCTCTGAAATCTCCACTGGCCTTGATGGATGATTCTTTTCTATGGTGCAGAATTAGTGCCAAAATTAGGACCATTGTGGATCCAGCAGTGGCTACTGCAGTATGCCTCAGGGTTAGGGGTTAGGGTTAGGGTTAGGGGTTAGGGGTTTAGGGCTAGGGTTAGGGGTAGCATCCAGCAGTAGAACATTAAGAACTTACCATTTTCAAATGCCACGGACATCTTTGGTCCACAGATAGTCTTTCACTATTGTTTGTTTTTTTTTACCTTTAAATGCAGGACTGGATGGATGGAATGGACAAGGTTCAAATATAGCTGATGACATGAAACAGAAATATTTTGGCTTCAGAATTCATTCTAAATATAAAGCTACTTTTTTGCCACTTCACCAGAGAAGTTGTATTCAGCCTGAATGTTTTTGGACAGAACTAATCGGCTTTGTGTTACCAGGATGGTGTTTACTGTGTAGATGTTCATGTTCCTCTCCGTCCTCAGAGGCTGTCGGATGTGGTGAAGGATGAGGACCAGGAAGAGGCCCCTCCACACTGCAGGACCCTCCTGGCTCCCTGCTCCATCCCCCGGAGCCTGGTGATCTCCTCCGGCCTGGGAGGAACACCGGTCACCCCCCAGCTGACTGAGGTGAGCCTGGGAAGAAGCAACAGAGAAAAAACACATACAGAGAGATCTCAGATGATCTCCGACTTCCACTGGACTTTCTGTTGCTCCAGTTGTATGGTCCTTTGGATTCTCCTCCATGTTTCCGACATCCAGCTGTCTGACACAGACTCCATTCTCATTCGTCCCAAAGGAACTTCACACCCACTGAAATATCAGGCCAAGACAATCCAATGTGTTGAATATCCCAAATTTAAGATCAGAGCGGTCCAGACCATTCTGAACAATTGGCACAAAAATTATGTGAACTTTAACCAGAGTACCAATATCACAAAACACACAAATACATGGTTACGTTGGTCAGAAAGTCATTGACTTTCTGCAAGTTGTTCCAATCATTGGGTGTAGCAAAATGAAACAATGTTTGACCAAATGATGGACAAACTCTTGGAACCATTGTGACGAATTTATCAGAACGTCGGATGTAAGTCTTGTTGCAAGTACTGATGAGGGAGCGAAAATATGGAGGAGTTTTGCCAGTCATAGTTTTATAGATGATTTTTTATGGCTGTGCCTAAATACTTTGGAGCTACTTGGCTTCAACTTTTAACTGTCTCCTTGATGAGGGATCACTTGGTGAGCCGCAGCAGGGCTGATCAGGTTCCTGTTTTCCCTCAGAGCCTGAGGAGGATCCTCTTTGGGGCGACTTTTCACGTCTTCAACTACGAGTGGAGGAAGTCCTTCTTCCAGTTCAGAGAACCAGACTCTGAGATGTCATACATCCTGGAGGCCGACAGAGTGAGGAACCAAAGCAGCTTCCGTTGCTCAAAGCTGAACTTTAGTTGGTTGAATCTGAACTTTTACCAAAAACAACTAATTGCTGTTGACCCAGAAATTAGTTGGATCCAGAGCAAAACTCAAACTAAATCTGAGTTCTGTTGAGTTTTGGTTGGTTGGACATGTTCAGACACCTTGTTGAGGTGTCTCACCTGCACAGGTGTGTGTTTCAGGGCGGAGCTCGCGCTATTCAGATGGTCATTCAGGCCCGCATCATCAAGTTCCTGCTGTTCAGCCAACCAGGCAGCACAGACAGACGGACGCTGCACAGGTGAGGATCTTGTTTGGTGCAATGACACCTTCACCTGTGAACACAAGATCACATGACAAGGTCAGGACACCTGAACCATGATTGGCAGCAGAGAGATATCAGATTCATTTTCAATAAGAACTCTAACATCCTGAGACAGAAAATCACTTGGTACCTAGACTCACCAGTCAATGAGCAGAAAGTTATGACGCAAAATCATCTGCAGAGTTAACAAAACTCAACAAATCTGTTCCAACTAATCACTTCCTGAACCACACAAACTGTACGTACAGGAAGATGTGAAGTTACAGATTTGATCCTTTTGATATGCTGTGTAATAGCAGGTTATGGCAACATGGTGGAAGTTAGCACTTTAGAATTAGCTTCCACTAAACATCAAGTTGATGTTGCACTTGAGCATCAGCAGAACTGTTTATGATTAGGGCTTTAGGGCTTTAGGGTTACAGTGCCCACCGATGGTACCACATGGTCAGGCTGCATTCACACCAGCCACAATTTGTCCACTTTAATCAAAGTCTAGTCCGTTTATCTTGAAAGTCTGATTTGTCTGGGAGGTGTGAATTTGTAATCAAACTCTGGTCCTCCTAAAAACCTCAATCTCAGTTGGATTAAAGAAAGCTCTGGTGCTGTTCCAGTGCCTATTTGAATACAAAGCAGACCAGAGACCGCTCCAAAAGCAGGAAGTGGACTACAGAACTGAGTCCTCTGGTCTACCAGGTGTGTACCTGGTGCTTATCTCCAGCGGTCGTTGGGCGAGAGGCAGGGGAATACGCAGCACAATGAGCCAATCCTGAATGGTTTTAATCTGGTGGACAGTAATGTCTCTCCGCCAGCCTCAGTCAGCTGCAACAGAGGGACCAGGACAAGGCGCTGGCAGCTGCGCTGTCCGACAGCCTCTGGTTGGCTGGGAAGAAGGAGCGGGCTACTGTTACCCTGGTAACCGAGGACTATTGCATCACGCCTCACCTGGACTACAAGCTGGATGACTTCACGGAGAAGGTCAGTTCCGCCTCTGCATTCCTGTCTGCAGCGCCGTCCTCCATTTCAACCCCATGATGTCCTCCAGCTGCAGCTGTTCACCTTCGACAGGAAGGACGACGTCTGGAAGTTCATCCTGGACCACATTCAGTGTGTGAGTTGAGCCAGAGATCAGCTCTGACGTGTGAACCTGGGTTTTTACAGAATCTAAACCTGGAAGAGGTTTTGGTTGAACTGACATGAACATCAAGGTTTGGGGAAGTCGATGTTTTAAATCTGTTTGCAGTTTAAAGCAGAGGGGAGTCATGGAGTCATCCTGTTCCTGTACAGCCTCATCTGCTCCCGGACAGTCGACAGGCAACCAAACCTCCATGTTGTCCAAACAGACACAGAAAACCAGCAGGGGGCAGTAAGACCTCTGGTTTGACTCCAGAACCTTTCCATCCAGACTCAGAGATGACATGAGCTCCAACACCTCCCACCTGCTGCACCTCAGCCTGGGAAACTTTGTGTGTCGACAGGTAAGATCCTCACCTGGAGTCCAGACTGCCTGCCTTCACGCACCAGACCTGGGTGCATCTTTTTCCTGAAATCGGACTTTTTCTGCATCGTCGTTCATTCTACTAACTAAATGTGATGCAGTCAGACTGCTGTATGAACAGTTTCTGACCTCAAAGCGACCCGCATGCAGAAGGAGAATGTAGACGCAGCGTCTAGGATGGAGGTTAAAGTTCATCTGCAAAGGGAGCCAAAACAAGGAAATTGATCAAAATGAATCCATGCTGACAGAAACGGCCTTCAGTGGAGCTTTGACTGCAGCTTCTGTGGAGTCAGAGCTCAGACTGGTGGGTTGGGAAACGATGCCTTCACTGGCTGTTTTCATTCCAAATGTGTGAAAAACATTGTTCATATTCCGCTAACCTAAAAAAAAAAATAAAAAAAAAAGCACAATTCCTGTGTTTTTGTTAAATAAGAAACATAATTAAAATCACCAGTTTGTTCACACAGTAAGTTATTATTAGACATGCAGCACCGCCGCCATCATCCTCCCACCACTTCCTGTTGTCTTCTTGGTTTGCACCAATGGGAACAAAGTAATGTTTTCATTGAGCTTTTGGGAAAGAAACAGATTTCCAGAATAAAAGCTTTTTTATTTGTTGAAGCAGATTTATTTTCAGAATGTCAATTTGTGAAACTCTGTTGTCAATAGAAATGCAGCGAGTGATTTAGATTGCTCTCATAATTTTATACAATCATCATTTATCGCGTCTGGCTTCGTAGACGATCCACATGTTCTGTGGACCCTGACCCTGTTCTGGTGGGTTCTGGTCCAGTTCTGTTGGACTCAGACCTTGAACAGCAGATGAGTCTCAGGTTGCTTCGTTTCTGTCTGTATCTCTGCAGGCTTTACTGAACCTGCTGCTGACGGGCCGAGCCAGTCCTCACGTCTTCAACGGGACGCTGCAGTGTGGGGAGGACGGCCAGCCTCTGGAGCGCCCCCTGCAGGGAGTCCTGTCCCGCAGCGATGTGGGGTACCTGCACTGGAGCCGGGAGCAGATGGAGCGAGGCGGGCTGCCTCAGGTAACCAGCTCTCTCCATGCGTCCTCCCAACCTGTAGAGGCAGTATGACATTTTTCCAGGTCTGTTTGACACAACAGCCAATGCTGAGTCAGCAACTCCAGTCCTGGTGTCCTAGTTCAAGGCCAAGAAACATTTTATGAAAGCGTCTCGGACTGTCCGACTAATCTGACAGGAATGTCATGAATGTTTAACTTTTGAAACTTTTCTGAAAACATTTTAGACGAGTCTAAAATGTTCAGTTTTTTTCTTCTGTCTGAAATGTTTTCATTTATTCCTGCTCTAAAACGGCGTTGTATGAAAACTGATTCATATTTGAGTCTGAATTCTTCCGGATGTTCCCCGTTTAGTTTTTTGCTGTTCCTGCAGGTGGGCAGCATGCTGAAGACCCCCCGGTTCCCGGTCTGGGTTTGCTGCATCAACTGCAGCCACTCGGTTCTTTTCAGCCTGAACCGGTCCCTGCTGTCCGACTGGAGGATGGAGCACCAGTTCCAGCTCTTCTACTGCAACGGCCAGAACTCCCAGAGATCCACGGCCCGCCTCACCGTGGGTGAGCGCCGCCGCTGCCGCCGCCTCTTGTTCAGCTCCTGTAAGCCGCTTCAGGTGCATAAAGGTTCTGGTTCTCCTGCAGATACTCACTCCCACCACTGGGAGGCGCCGCCCGCAGAGGCAGACCCGGAGAAACGGTTCCCGTCACTAGAGATGACCATCAGGACCAAGTGGGACGGCGCCGCCATCGACTGGAATGGTACCGACCCGTTCTACTGAGCATAAAATGTGGTGGGCTGTGGCTCCCCCTGCTGGTGGAGACACGGATATAAAATCTGTACGAATCATTTTAAACTGAAAATCAATAAAAACTTCTTTAAAATTAATCTTTTGATGCTTTAATCTGAACAGAAAAACTGTTTGATCTGTGTATGCTAACGAGCCTTAGCATACACAACATGCATTGCTAGCTGCAATGTAGCAAAACGCAAACTAAGGAGGTGATTAACAGCGCTAAGCCCCGCCTCCTGGCTGTAGTTGTTTTTTTCTAGTTAGCACTGGGAGAAGGTGCAGATTTATTGTTTCAGATTATCTGTCTAAACTTTAGTCACATGTTGACAGTTTTTTTGTATATATAAAATGACGTACTGCACCTTTAAGAACCGACTTACACAGTTTACCTGTTTATTTTATCTTTGTTTTCAACTTCAACATTTTCTTCAAACGTTGTCGGATTTAAAGAGTCCATTAATCTCCAAATGAACAGTAAACCTCAGTAAAATGTTCTCAGTAAGAGTGGATCAGTCTGGATCCACTGAGCGGTACCAAACGGGTCGGGTCGGGTCTCCGTATTCAGGACAGCGTTTCCTCTACCAGGTGACTGAATCAGGTACGGTAAGGATCTCACACCATCCCGCTCCACTGCAGCGAGGTGTAGCGGACCGAGCCGTCCGGCGCCGGCGAACACAGCAGAACCGTCTTCTTGACGTTGGAGCCGAGCCGGGCCACACAGAGGACGTCCAGCAGGCAGACGGACTCGTCCAGCGCCAGGCAGACGGCGATGAAGTGGGCGTGGAAACGCAGCGGGTCACCTGAGGATGAAGGGGCGGAGTCAGCTGGAGGTTGGCAGGGTCAAACAGAGGTCGGGGGTTCAGGTTCACCTGGATACACCAGGAAGTCTCCGCCGAACTTCCCTGCAGAGGTCAGGAAGAAGCCCCGCCCCCGCAGGTCCCTGAACACCTGGAACCTGGCCTCACCGCGGGGGGAGCGCTGCGCTCTGATTGGCCAGTCGGCCTCCAGGAAGGCACGGGCTTCTGGACAGTGGCTAAGCCCCGCCCTCGCCGTGCTCAGCTGCACCGCCAGTGCGGAGCGCGGAAAGCTGAAGTTCTGCTCCAGGTCCAGCAGGCGGCGCTGCAGGGCCTCATCTGAGCCTGGATCAGAACCTGAATCGGAACCAGAACCATTAGAGCGCAGCAGAAAAACACCTCGCCATAGTAACGATCCTACCTGATGATGTCATGGCTCGAACCAACGCCGACTTTCTGTCCTCCAGAGCGAAAACGCTCTGCTCCTCGTAGCTCCTCTGCTGCTCCTCCGCATAACGCTGCTGCAGCTCCCCGCCCGCCGCTTCCTGCTGCCAACAAAACAAACACACCCTCAGCTCTAGCTCCACCCCGCCGCTTCCTGCTGCCAACAAAACAAACACACCCTCAGCTCTAGCTCCACCCCGCCGCTTCCTGACAATAATGATGAAACAAACGCACCTTCTTCCTTTCAGAAGGTGAAATTTAAGCTCCACCCCCAAACATCTTTTTGATGCAAATGTCTGACCTGTTCTGTTTCCTCATGTTGGTTCTGACCCAGTTATTACCCAGAACATCTGACCCGGCCTTTTGCTGACCTGGTTCTGGGCGGGCAGAGCGGCGGCGCCACGCCGTTCTCCCAGCAGCCTCTCCTCCTCCGGCAGCAGCAGCAGCGGCCGGCCCAGTCGGACGTTCTGCCGGGGGGTTCTGGGCAGCGACCCGAGCAGCGCCCCCACCAGGCCGTCGGACCTCATGGCCTTCAGGTCCTGGAGCCGCCACAGGAGGGGGGCGGAGTCACAGAGACTCAGCCCGACGACGGGGGCGGGGCTCTGTTCCTCCTGAGGCCGTAGCTCCGCCTCCATCTACAGAAACCGACCAATCAGAAATGAGACAGAAACCAGGAGTTAGACTGAGCCTCTGATTGGTGGATTCATGGCCTTTATGACAGATGGAAACCAGTTCAAGTATTAATTGAGCTTTTGAGATGGTAACCTTGTGTCGTTGCCACGGTTACTGTCTGAACTTGAAATAAAAGAGAAAGCAAATCTGTCTGGATCAGTTTGTGACGAGTGTTTTGGGATCTGCAGCCTGAATTTATGCGCCGTAAAGCAAACAACACATTAAAATGTGAAATAAAAAAGTAAAACAAAATCAATAAAGCAAATATTTAAAGCAGTTTAATAATATTTTAACTGAACCTAACAAACTTATTTCAATTCATTTTGGTCTTTATTTTCTATGGAAACAGTTTCTGGTTCCGGTTCCGGTCCAGGAAAACTGAAAGAACTTTATGGTGATACTACATCCAGGTGTTTGGATCAGTCTGGTTCCGAATCGGTTCTCTGTTCTGTACATAGGAAGAACCGGTTCGGTGTGGACTCATGAACCCATTCCTCCAGATGGTTCGGAACCAGAACCTGACATTACAGACCGTTAACCAGAACCGGTTCCTTACCGGCACGTGTTTCCTCCGCGTCACGACGTGCCGTAAACTGGTCCAGCTGTAGCTCCTCTGTACAGGTGTTAGTCCTCCGTCCTGACCCACAGCTCCCGGTACCGGTACCGGTACCAGAACAGCGCAGGAAGCGTCTGCAAAGATCAACACGAAACATGGAGAGGGTCCGCTCGGTCACAGCCAGCCGGCGGGCAGCTCGGCCGAGAGGGAGGAGTGTTTGAGACAGTTGTTAGTGGGAGGGGTTCAGAAACGGCCAATCAGAGCGATCCGCGATGATTACGTCACAACTCCCAGCAATTTCTTTTTATTTTTGTGGCTGTACCTTTGATTGCATCTTCCTATTGGTTGAAAATGCAGCCAATAGGAGCAGAGTGAGGCTGAACAGGCAGCAAAGTGAACCTATCAGATGCTGGTATTTATCTTTTAAGATAAGTTTGGCAGCTGAAACTGAAGTGATAGAAAATATTCCAGAAAATGAAACCTGGATGAAAACTTCCCAGACTCCAGCTGCTCTGGTGATGAGCTGGACCCAAAACCAGGTCAGAACCAGGGTCAGAGGTCATGACTACACATCAAAGACGCTGAGCTTCAGAACAGGCTTTTATTGTGAAACACTGTACAGATGAGGCAGCCTCACTGCCTACGTTTCCCAGAATGCGGCTGTCGCTCAGCAGACCTAAAAGACTAAGCCCCGCCCCCGGATCCATTCCCGTTTCTGTCCAATCAGCCGCTGCTCCTGGCTGTGTCAGAGTGAAGCATGCTGGGAAGGCGTCCTACGGCTTGACCTGCAGCGCCTGCAGCTCCTTCAGCAGCTGCTCCTCCTTCTGGATCTTCTCCACCTGCAGCAGACAGACAGAGCAGCTTCTTTAAAGGTCAGAGGTCACCATACTGGTCTGAATGTTACTGCGTATGCAGACGATATTCTGCTGTGTTTACGGATCCGTCACCTGGTTCTTCTGCAGAACTTTCCCAGACGCCTGCTGCTCCTTCAGCTCCTCGATGGCTTTCAGTTTCTGAGAATAGATGAGATTAGAAGGTTTTAATCTCCTGATGTTTGATTTTCAGGCAGCAGATGCAGATTTCATAGCGGCCCCATTTCTTCTCACCTTGTTTAAGTTCTTGATCTTCTTGTCTGTCTCCGGGTCTCCGCTGCCGCTGGTCACCTCTGATTGGCTGTGGCTCTCAGGTGCGGGAGCAGATTGAGGTTCAGGGTCAGGTTTGGCCTCCTGCGTCAAGATTTAAGGAGTTTTCACAGATAATCAGAGACGGAGCAGCAGAACAAGGACACCTTCGCACCGATTGACTGTTTTTATTACCGATATCTGAGGTCTGGCGTTGGTTTCCGTCCACTGCCACGTCGCATTAAAAGTTTTACTATTTACCGAATGACACTTCATTCATGCACCGCACTTTGGACATCCCTGAATTAGCCTGAATAGATCCGGTCTTATAGATCCAGAACATTGTCTCGGATACCTGATCTAGAATTTATTGAACCAGATGTTGATCTGATATCTGAAACTAAACTGCCGTTTGGTATCTGATTACAGGAAGTAATTGTGGTTCTGCTCACCAGTTTCGCGGCTTTCTTTGCTTCTCGCTTCCTCTGGTTCTTCAAAGCCGTCTTGGAGAGGCTCTTCTCTCCTCCCGGTCCGGCCCGGAGGTTCTGAGGCAGTTCTTCTTCATGCTGATGGACAGACGCTCCGTTACCAGACATTCAGCTCCAGGCTGGATGTATTTTAACGTTTCCTCACCAGTTTGGAGCTGGGAGCGGCCGGCAGGTGCCTCAGTGCGGGGGGACGGTACGCCTGCGTGGGGGCGGCCTGGGTGGAGCCCAGTTCACTGGGCGCAGCCTGGTACCGGATGGGCCGCTCCGGAAAGGTGCCATCCGGGAACGGCTGCCAGCGGACGTCCCACAGCTCTGCGCCCTTTACGATATCGTGCTTCTGCAGAACCGAGCCCGTGTAATGCCAGATCTTATATCCGTTACTGACCCGTAGCCGAGGGGCGCAGGTCGCCGTGACGATGTGCTCGCCATCGGGACACCAGGAGAAAAACGTGGCGTCTGGAGCCTCAGGCGTGGACACCTGCAGGACAGCAGAGAGACATCAGCAAAATAAACACCTGGACGATTTAATTCACTTACCTTAACTCATCTAACCGGAGCTAACGGATGCTAACAGGGAAAACTTAGCAAAATAAACAGCTAACCAAAGCTAACGGATGCTAACAGGGAAAACTTAGCCAAATAAACAGCTAACCGAAGCTAACGGATGCTACCAGGGAAAACTTAGCAAAATAAACAGCTAACCGAAGCTAACAGATGCTAACAGGGAAAACTTGGCCAAAAGTAAACAGCTAACTGAAGCTAACGGATGCTAACAGAACAAACGCTCCGAAGTTTGTGGTCGTCCCATTTACATGTTTATGGTATGAAATCAGGTTCAGCCTTTTCATTCGCCACCAGAACACACGGGAGCTCACTCTGAAAACTGTTTTTTCTAAAATAAATAAAACAACTAAAACTAATTTCCATGTGTTAAAAACGCTCCTGTTTTAAAATGACAACATTTTCACCAGGTAAAACTCTCACCTGTTTGTACTTCTTCACGTCCCAAACCTCCATCTTGCCCCTGAGGTTCCCGAACCCGGCCAGAACCAGGATGTGGCCCTGAGGACTGAGGCAGGAGGGAAACAATTCGACTGAAACCTGAAAGGTTTTTAGGTTTACGGAGCAGATTTCACCACCTGACAGCATTTGAACTCTTTTAAAGGTCAAGTAATTTCAAGGTAAGTTTTCTAACTTTTCCAGTACTTTGGATTTAAAATCAATACAATAACTCTCTGTTATAAGCACATTTAGCATCATGTTCATTGATTGTCAGCGCTAAGCCCCGCCTCCCGGCTCTGACTGGATGCTTTTAGTTCAGGAAGGATCTGATCAAAAACTGACAGTTTTAACAAATATTTAAAACCATATTTGTTCTAAATGTTACGCTCCAGAAACAGAACTGGTGTGATTCCCCTCCCTACCTGTAGTAGGCGGCGTTTCGCGGGCCGGTTCCGAAGTCGAACACGGCTTCACACTTCAGGTTGAAGACGGTGGCTTTGGCCGGCATGAAGCCGTAAACCACGCAGAACTCCGAGGAGTTGGGGCTCCAGGCCGCGTCGTAGATCGGCCCGTTCTTGGCTGCGGGAGAGTCAGATGTCGGTGTTCTGGATCGGAAGCGGGTCGCCTACCGAGCTCGGTTCTTACCCAGCTGGACCAGAGACGTCTCTCCGTTCACACCCAGGTAGTGCAACGTCTGCTCGCCGTAATATGAAGCTCCGCTTTTATCCACCTCTGTGCTCGCCGTGACCAGGACGGCGGAGGCTGGGGGGAAGACACGGGTCAGAGTCCGGACCCGACCGGACCGGACCGGGCCGAGCTCTGGACTGGACCCGCTCACCTTTCTGGTTCCACTGCATCATGACTTTGTCCGCCTTGAAGAAGCTCTTGTTAGCGAGCGCCGCGCCGGGCCCGCCCAGAACCGGGTACTGGTAGAGCCGCACGAAGGACGGCGCTCCTTTACTGCCGGGGACGTAGATGGCGACCTGCAGAGGGCAGACAGGGTCAGACGGGATCAAATGGGGACAGACGGGGTCAGATGGGGTCAGACGGGGACAGACGGGGTTAGATGGGGACAGACGGGGTCAGATGGGGTCAGACGGAGACAGACGGAGACAGACGGGGTCAGACGGGGACAATACGGTTTGGTCTCACCTTGCAGGGCAGAGCTCCAGGCGATACGGCAAAGTCAGAAACTTTCTGCATGTGAAGCTTGTTGGCGATGGAGTCTGAGGAAGAAAACAAGAGGCTGCCGTTACCATGAGGACGAGAAGCCTGATGTCCAAAATTCATATTAAAAAATGCAAAAGTGAGTTTGAGTGACAATTTTTTTTATTATTTGTTCATAATTATTATTATAGATCAAAAACAAAAAATGTTTCTGTCTTGTTCACAAGTTTTCTACAATTCTTGGTAAAGGACTTAAAAAAAAGTCATTTCAAGGGCCACAAATGGCCCATGAGCCACAGTTTGAAGACCTACTGGTTTCCTGAGAGGCCGACCATTAACTGAATGCTAACCAAGGTTACTACTGTCAACAAAAACCAATAAAATAAAATTCAAAGGTAAAAAAACCCAATTTTTTATCTGAAGTAAAAATAAAAACAAGACTAAATCTGACAAAACTGAATTATTGAGTAAAAGTTGTTGGTTTGCGTCTCTTCAGCTCGAATCTCCAGCAGAGAATCGGGGACAGAGGAGGCGCTCGCTGCGCCGCGTTCTGCCAGCAGATGGCGATGCAAGTCAGGTCAAAATATGACATAAAGCTAAAAGTTTCTCACTGAAGTCATTGTTCTCAAAGAAGTGCAGCTCGTTGTTGACGCTCCTCACACAGACCTTCTCGTCTGCAGACCACCTGGGACACCTGGACACAACAACAGACATGAAACCCGACCGGTCGATCAGAAACACACCCAGAAACCTCACTAACCCCACTGGAAGCAGCCCACCATGTCGTCGTGCTAGAAAACATTGAAAATTTGAAAATGTGACTGTTCTAGCGGGTCCATAGCTGTCTGTGATTGGCTGCAGGTGAGGCTCAGTTAGAACAGAACCAGAACACAAAGCCTCACTGCACAAATATAATGTCATACGCAGAAGGTTGGCAGCATCCAGGCTTTCAGGAAAGACAGCGTCCAACATACTTTGGATTTTTATTTATGTCTTGTGGCTTTATTGGATGAAGACGTTAGTGAGCCAATCAGAGTGCATGCAGAGTGTGCTGGACCAACCAGGAGTCGATTTTCTTCTGGTACAGAGCTTTGACCAGTTGGCCGGTCTGCAGCTCCCACAGCTGCAGGTTGGCTTCCCCCTGAGGACTGTCCTGAGTCTCTGCAAGGACAGACAGACAGACAGAGTCTCAGTGGCTTCCTGGACGTTTCCTCCAGCGTTTCTGGGTCGTCTCTTACTGGTGTACGGTTGCCAGGTGACCAGGATGTTATTTAGGGGAGAGAACTCCAGCAGAACGGTTTTTGGGAGGTCAAAGGTGGACACCACAGATCCGTCCGCACATTTCACCACAGAGACGCTGAAGGACAGAAAGACAGACAGTCAACAAGCCGCCATGTTGCGTGAAGACAAGCGATTAAAAACCAACCTGTGTCCGTTGCACCATCCTACGAGCGTCCCGTCCCTGCTGAAGGTGAGGTACCTGCTGGGCCGGCTGTCCCTGAGAGACACAGACACCAGGTCACAAAAGGTCACAGGAAGCTGCTTGATGACAGAGGGGAGGAGAGCACCTCTGGAAGGACGAGTGCTGCTCACACCGCGGGGGTCCGCACAGCAACGACGTTCCTTCTGATCCACTCACTGAAACAGAAACACGGTGAAGCTGCAGCAGGAATATTCCTGACTGTACGTATGATTACAGGGAATCCCCGTTTTGTGATTGGTTTGCATCTGTATCAGTCGACATCAGTGATTTTTTAACAAATCAATATCAGACTTATAAATAAAAACTGAAATGAAACCAACAACCAATATTTTTTTTCCATTTTGTTGCAATCTGTTTCGGGTGAGGGTTTTCCCTAAAAATGATATTGTATATTTCTCTATCGGCAAATATCGGTTATCGGCATAGCAGAACTATTCATATTGGATATTAATTTTGGCCCGAATTTTAATATCATCCAGGTCTATTTTTAGCGTTGATTACTGATTGGTAGTATCAACATCTGTGTCTTTGGTTGGATTCCTAATGGCCTCTAACCCGATTTATGGCAAAACATGGAGGCAACCAACCTGATTTTGTGACTTTAATCATTATGGTGATTTCTGAAAACTTAACAGAAATCTCAACTATAATCAATACTCCAGTAGATGCTCTAGATCGTCTCTAAATCTTTGTCTACATCACACAAAAACAATTCCAATAACTTTTTCTAAAGTTAGTGTGTTGAATGCCATTCAGCTCTGCTCTAATTTAAATGACTATTGACTGTCAAGTGATGAATCGATCAGGTAAAATTAAATGAAAGACATTTTCTGAACTGAAGATGAGGATTTTAATTTTCGGCATGAACTCAGGAACCCAGTCTGCAGCGGAACCAGCTGATCTTCATGGTGTTGTGTCGGTCACTGGAAGCTGTGGCGCTCCGACAGCAGCCACCGGCGTGGCTTATTGACTCCAGGTGTTTTACTGAACGGGTTCAGGGTGATTTAAATCAAGCCGAATGACGCAGCGCGGTCTGCTGTCGTTGGCGACGTCACACTCCAGTTGCCGGAGTTTCAATGTTTCAATCGAACGGATGTTAAATTGACGCTGAACGGATTTCTTACGGACTCTGGTTAAATGTCGGTTAATGAAAAACAACAACACTTCATCTTAGAGTCTGACTCCGTCAATGACGTCACACACTGAATAAACAAACCAACAACGAGAGGAAAACGTCACAAAACACAGAGGTTTAACTTGGAATTACCTGCGAGCAGCGGAATGGGGGGCGCCATGTTTACATGTGCCGGAAGAAGAAGGGAGTTACCCGGAAATGCGTGACGGGGGCAGGAGGCGGGACTTCCAGTGCCACATCAGCATAACGCGTCTGGTTCTCTTTAAACAGATAACTATGATAGCTGATTTTTTTCACCTTAAATGTGACGTAGAACTCACTGTTTCCGTTTTGAGATGAAATGTGAGCCTTTGATGACCAAATAATCTGTTTTCTTAAAGCTGAACAACTTATTAAACCTCAACGAGGGTCAAGATGCTGTGTACTACACAAACCTAACACAACTTCCGTTTTCAAAATAAGAGTTGGAAGACATGGATTATGGGACATTACAGCTGACTTTTAATGACAGAAATTAAATGACAACAACAAGCAAGCCTGAGAGTAAATAAAATTGTCCTCTTACATAAAAAAACTGCATTTTATATTTATAATGGAAATTTTTGTTTTAAGAGTAGTTTAGCTCCAAGTTTGCACTTTAACGTGAGAGCTATTATTATACCGTATTGTTTTTATACAGTGTCTGGATACTCTGCTCAACACAAGTAATTTTACAGAAGAATAAAAATATTTGTTTTTACCAAAACTGTGGGGACACAGACATGCCTGCTGTTAATGTAAAAATGAGACTTGGTGCATATAGTTTCTGTTCTAATGTTATTGTTTATCTATGGAGACTGTGAATATGCGCCATACATGATTAATGGAAGTACTTTACTCTGTTCTGACGTACAACATTTATGCATTGCCTAATTTAAGTATTAGTTTGATACATTTTTATTTAAAAAAAATGTTTAGAAAAGTATTTCTCTTTATTGAATGGCTCTTGAATAAATTGTCTGATGGATACTTTTTACGTTTACTTTATTAAAAATATATTGAAGTTGAAAACATTTTCTACAAACTAAGACACTTTATTCTGAAGGAGCGTACCGGAAGTCCGAGTTTGGTGCTCACACGCTACACGGCGCAAGGTTGCTCATAGGGGGCGTGGCTTGTTTAAAGAAGGCGGGACTTCGAGTTTTTGAGGACGTAGACAAAGCTGCGTTCCTCCCAGTCCGAGAGCCCAGCGGAGCGAGAGCGCGAGGACAGCTAACGGCGTTAACAAACAAACAAATAAACAAACAAACATCAAACAAAGAAGGAGCAAAGATGGTGGCCAAGCAGAGGATCCGCATGGCGAACGAGAAGCACAGCAAGAACATCACGCAGCGGGGGAACGTGGCCAAGTCCACGGTGAGTGACCGAACCCGACCGGAACCAGTCCGGAGCCGCTGATCAGATTCTGACCGAACTGAACCAGGTCGAGCTTAAGGTGAGATCTGATGACGTCATCATGAGCAGAAACGGAGGTTCCTGGGATCGATCAGCTGATTGGTTCCCAGAAGCAGCTGGACTTCTGTTTCTGCTAAAATCTTAGTTTTCTCTGGTTCGGTTCGGTTCGGTTCCGATTACAAACATGCTGTCAGTGATCGATCATCAGAAAAACGGGGAGGAAGGTTCCAGGAGAAAATCCTCAGAGAATGATCGATTGATCACATCTGATCAGCTGAGGAAAACTCTCTGATCATCATCGATCAGAGCTGATCAATAATCGAAGTGCCGTGTGTTTCAGAGGAACCTGGTGGAGGAGAAGGGAGTTGGACCGTGGCTGCTGGCGCTCTTCATCTTCGTGGTCTGTGGATCAGGTGAGTCTTCTTCATCCATCAGGTTATCAATATCAGCATTGATCTCCTTTAATTGAACAGTTATGAGAGGAATATGGAGATCATTATCAATGAATTTAACAAAACTACAGCAGGGTCTTTGCTAGATATGATAAAAATGTATTTTTCAATAATAAAGTAAAATTTTTCTGTTTAGCTTCATTGTTGATGTCAGATCCTTTTAAATTACATGATTAAACTTAATAAATCAGCTGAGAAACTAAAATGTTTCTTTCAATTAAAAAATATTGAAATTCTCCTGCAGATTTGGATCCACAATAATTTCCACTCTGCTACAAAAACATCAGACTGTTTTATAAATATTTATTTTATTGTTGAGCAGGAAGAGAAATCCTCAAAACTTTATGCAAGTTTAGTTTACATTTTACTTTACTGCAGTTTGTTTTCTGCAGCTATTTTTAATTATAAATTGTTTTGTAACTTTTTACTTCATTCAATTACTTGTTACATATTTTAACAGATTATTGTTTCCTTATCTTAAAAACTTTGCTATTTTATCAGTTTGAGCTCATACTTTTATTTAGGAAAGTTAAGATATAAAAAGAAACAAAATCAACTAAAACCATTTGAAATGCAATGCATGCCAAGTTGTTTCTGTAAAATATGTGAAAATAAGTTCAAATAACTTTGATCTAATTGTGTTTTCTGTAGAATCAATGATTCATATTTTATTTATTCACTCAGATTAATTTCAGTTGATGAAACTTTACCAGCGGGGGTCAAACGTGGCCTTTGACCTTTCACATCAGCGCTCTGATGTCGCTCCAACCTTTAGAGAAAGGACAGATAAGAAACACCTGTCTGCCAGGTGTGAGTTTGTCTGCACATGCTCAGTGGGACGCAGAGCGGTTATTGATCAGAGGTCTCACTCTGATCAGAGTCCAGCTGTTTCTGTCGGTTCCCACAGGAATAAACTGATGAAACACCTTAATGTCACAGAATGAAGAAAAGCTAAATAAAATGTACAAAAAGATAAACAAAAATCAAGTTGAATAATTGAAGAAAGTTTTTGAAAAATATTAAAATCATGCAAATAGAATTACCATATATTTGAGTAAATTAAACAAACGTAAACCATGTGGTAAAAGTTTGTTGTTCTGTTTCCCGGCAGCCATCTTCCAGATCATCCAGAGCATCAGGATGGGCATGTAGAGTGACGTCACCAGCAGGGGGCAGGGCCTGAACTGAGAAAGCATGACATCAAACATTCCTGAACTTTGACCTCTGACAGAAGCCCCGCCCCGCTCTCCATCTAGCCCCGCCCCTTCCGTATTAGCCCCGCCCCCAGAGACAGGCCCGTCCTGCCGCTGCTCCACGTGCCTTCCTCTGTTTACCTGGACGTAGCTCCGCCCCCTCTGGATGCGCCTCATGAGCCTGACGGCGGAGTGGGCGGGGTTAAAGTCCAGATCCAATCTGTCTCCTCCTCGCGGAGCCGACAGGAAGCGACCTTTTGAATCAGAAGGTGTAAAGGTGCCGACAGGTGAGGCTGCACCGTGTGCAGCTGCACCTGAACATTCCTGATCCACCAATAAAGTTTCACTCTGAACATCGTTGCTGCCTCTGTGTTTCCTGGTCCCGGTTCTGGAGCCAAGCGGTTGGTCTTGGTTTCAGGTTGATAGTCTAACCATCAATTTTTATATAAAAACGAAACAAGTGATGAAGATGGAGGTTTACATCCTGCTGCAGGTGCTGAATTCTTCCAGCAGGTGGCGCCGTTTCCCCTGTGATTCAACTGACGGTCTGTGGAGGAGCAGCGGGACGCACAACACAGATTTAGGACCATGATTTTCACCAAGACATGAAAAATATTCAGGAATTTTGAATAAAAAATAAAACAAATAATTTTTAGCTTGGAGTTCATAAGAAAACCAAAAACTGACATTTTGAAATTACACTCAGGTTTTTTCTAGAAGAAAACTTGAAAATTTGTGAGATCCAAAAGTTTTCAACTTTTTTTCAAAAATTGTTTTGAAAAGAACAATTTTTGAAGAAAAATTTCTGAAACTTTGATCTGATTTTTTTCGGTCACTTGGATGAATCAAACGTCGCCTCCCTCCCATCAAACCTGATTCCTGTTGAACTTCTTGCTCCTAAAACAATTTTTCCATGTCAGTCAGTTTTTTCTTGTGTTTAATTAAATTCAAATACTCAGCAGGACTTTAGATGCTATAACTCATTAGGTTCCTCAGCTGATGCTCCTGTAGCAGTCTGTTACAGCGACGTTAAAGAAGCCTCTGACTGAAGATGCTGTAGTTGAAGAGGAAGCTCAGAGTCGTCTGTGATTTTCTTGTTTTTATGTTCAACTCGTCTTTAAAGTGAGAGGATTTAGTTTCTAACCCTGGATTCATCCTGTCTTCATCTCGTGTTTGGCCCCATTCTGTCCCCTAATCATCCCAGTCTCGTATGTTTTGGTGCTTAATCCCGGTTTGATCCCATGTTCCGTGTGTCTGTCCCATGTTTATCTCAGAACCGGGTCGGTTGTTTAACCCAGTCTGGTTCTGACCCACTTCTCCTGCCTTCCCACCAGACGCTCTTTGTTCTCCGGCTTTTGTTCCGTCGGTCGGCGAGTCGACAGCTGGACCTTCATTCAGGAAGCTGGAAACAACAACGGCGTCTCAGACGGAGACGACCAGCAGCTGAAGCAGGCTGCGGGGTCGTCATGGTGAAGATCAGGCAGCCTTTAATCGATGATTCAGGTTAAAACTCGTCAAACATAAAGGACCGCTCATTACTACCATTTACACAGCAACATGTTTATTTTCTACAAATGCTAACGACACATTTAGCATCTTTGCCCTCATTTGTTCTTTTACAAACATTAAATGAATCTCAGATCTTATTTGGCAGAAACTTTCCTCTCTTGCAGAAACAAAATGCCATCGGCTCTAAATAAAAGAAGAAAAATGAGCCGGATATCCACTGACATCTCGCAAATATTTCACAACTTTTCCTGATTAATATTCAGAATTTAGTCTCCTTTGGTCGACATCTTTTATTTGAGAAATCTGAGACCTAAACTGACCCAATAAGAAGAGAAGGTGAAACTTTGTGAGTCGCAGAGCAGTAAATATTTCTGAGGTGGAGATTAAAGAACAGGTTCCTGCAACTGGAACCAACAATGTTTATTGCAGCTGCTCTATATATCAAAAAGTTTCTATCATCACAATATTAGGTTATAAATTGTTGTTATCTGTTTTCGTTGGCTGTGGGAGTTTAAAGCCGCAGTATATAACTTTTATAAGAAATAGATTTTTGGTTAAACTGTCACCAGACAGCTTGGAGCTCCTCTGCTGCGATAACCAGAAACAACCAATAAGAGAGAGTCTTAGTGCTACGATGTGTGCAAAGGAGGCGGGGCTTAGCACTGTCAATCAATGTTTTTCACAGACCATCTGATTTACTGCAAACTGTTTCAACAAATATTGTTTATAAAAGTTGCATACTGTGGCTTTAAGACCCTGTGGAAATGTTCTGTATGACAGAAATAAATTCAGCCAATCAGCCGCGCCGCCAGATGAAGTCAGACTGTGGGTGGTGCTTGTAGGACCTGGTGAGATCTTCCAGGGTCCATTAGAACCAGAACCAGGTTCTCTGAAGGGTTCTTCTCATGATGCTGATAGAGACCCAGCCTGACCTGGATGACCATCAGAACGTTGAGCCAGTTCTGATGGCTGAGGCAGGAAAACTCCACAGATGAAGCTGATATAATAGAAACCTCCATGTTGAGTCATGTTTGAAGCCCAGGTACAACGATGTCCGGTTCTCTGAGGTCAAAGAGCATGTCCAGGTGGTCAAACGGGTCTATGTGGGTCGAAGAGAGCAGAACTAAATATTCCCTCTGTCTGAAGGAGCCGAAGTGAGACGGTGAACCCCAACGAGGGAAACTCCATTTCGACCACTGATTGAAAGTTCAAGCTGTCCTGATTGAACCTGACTCTGGCAGAGCAACTCAGTGATGTCCCTGACTTCAGTGCCAGTCCTGAGGAGATGAGGTAAAGTTCTGGTCCATGTGTCTGTTGGGTCAATGTCTGCCCATGAGACGGGTCCTTTGGGAACGTGTCCCTAGAAACTGACGCCCCATATGCCACCGTGTCTCCTCGCTGTCCCTGTGTCGACGCCTGCAGACGTTCTCAGCTGTTGGACGGCTGCTCCGGTTTCAGCCGGATGGCCCAGGAGTTGGCGGACACCATGTCTCCACGCCGGTGGATCCGGCAGGTGTAGACGCCCTCGTTGAACTCATTTGCGACGATGCGAAGGTCTCTGTCCTTCATCACGATGTATCCGGGGATGGAGGTCAGGATCTGCTCGCCGTCTTTGTACCAGCTGCAGGAAACAGAGGCAGAGGACGGAGTTCTGCCGGGTCCGACCCAATCAGCTCATCAGCAAGTCTGTCTGCGCTCACCTGACTTTAGGGGGAGAACGGAGGCTCTTGGTGCCGCAGCGGAAACCCACCACTTTTCCTCGAGGAACCATCTTGATCTTCAGGTTGGCTGGGGGCGACGTTGGCATGGCGACCACATCCAGGGGCTCTGCGGCGGGAATGAAACTCAGACGGGAAATACGTTTTCAAACCAGAGACAAAGTTCTGATTGCGTCTGTTCAAAGATCACAGAGTCATTGTGCTAAAGAGCACTACGGAGGTCACCGTAGCAGAGGTCACAGCGCTGCGGACAGTTCTTCCTCATGAAGGTCTTCCTCCGTTCGCAGAATCCGAGTCGAGCCCATGGATCACAGACCCTCTTCTTATCCTGACATCCTACAAACACAACATCCTTGGCAATGACACGTCGACAGAGAGTTGACTGCAGCACACAGACTGAACACAAGACCAGAGCAGTTCTGTTCTGGTACCATAGAGCCTCTGGATCCCCCACACGTCGTCCTGAGCGATGTTTCTCTGCCCCGTGTAGGTGGCGTTGGGATGCATCAGGGCGTCCGGGTCTCTGGAGTGCCACAGGCCCAAAGCGTGACCGATCTCATGAGCCGCCACCTGGACCAGGTCGTTCAGCCAGACGCCTGCGGATTCACAGTCACAGGTCCAACACTGGTTCTGGACCGGTCTGCCAGCTGGGGTTCTAAAACGAGCCGTCTGCTCACCAATCACAAGAGTGAACATATCTGAGTTTGTGTGCAGTAAACTGGTTTGATTTCAGGGAGCAGAAACAACCCAGTGACAGACGGCAGAACAGGAAGAAGGATGACCTTGTTTCCAGCTGAACCTAGACTTCCCGAGGATCCAGAACTCGTGGTTGTCGAAGTGGATCTCTCCTCGGGGCGGCAGGAAGGCGTGAGCCAGCTCCCCGTTCAGGCCGTCGAAGCACGGATGGAGAGGAGACCACCAGCAGTCGGTGTGGTTGAAGGTGTAGAAACCTAACGCACCAGATCAGAGGAATCAAATCCACAAACGTTTGTGTTATTATTCAACCTGGTCAGTGGAAACTAAATCCAGCTTGGAGTATTTTATTACTGCTGAACCATCAAGTGACTGGTGTTTGATTGATGTCGCCATTTTGCCGTAATGGCTGCCGAGGGCCAGTAAGCAGACAGTAAGCTGCCAGTCAGGGGGAAATAAATTTCACATCAGTTTCAAGACTATCAATAGATTATTATGTCTATAATTTTAGTGTGCTTTGGTTAGTTTTATTAATTAGTTGGTGGAAATGTTTTCTCAGTCCCAGTTTTTGTTTTTGTTTGGATCCTTGCTCGGTGGCGTACCGATGGTGATGTCAGCGGCGGCGCTGCTGTTGGTGACCTCGGTGAAGGTCAGCGGCGACACGTCGCTCCACTTGGTGAAGGCGATGCTGATGGCCTTCCGGGTGTCCTCCTTGTTCAGGGTGTTGGGGAACTTTATGATCCTGGGCGATGAAGAGGAGGCAGGTCAGCGGGCGCTTTCACAGGCTGACCTCTGCTTCCTGCTCACCTGTTCAGGTGTTTCTGGGCGGACTCACCTGTATGTGATGTTGTGGTGAGTCCACTTGTGTCCCAGGGGGTTGATGGCGTAGCGTCTGGTTCTGGTTCCTCGGTCTGATTTTCTCTCCATCATCATGCTGCTGCCAGATATCTGTCAGTAAAACATCAACATTCAATCCGCTGCATGAGGAACGGGGCTGAAGTTCCTCTGGCGCCCACCAGGGGCGCTACGGAGCCACCCTGAAGCAGAACGAACAAATAAAACCAACTAGGAAAGTTTCAGAGCCAGAGTCAAACATCAGCAGAGAGAAGTGTAACTTTTGTTTTAATGAGATAAAAGCTTTGGCAGATTTATTTATCTGGATCTGATCTGATGCATTTATTCTCAATTAAACATTTCAATCCTGATGATTTGATCCAAACATTTAATATTTCCTGATTTTAACTGAAGAAATTCATTTAAAGTTACTAGTTATTAGATTTATCCCATTATTACCATTTTATTGCCGTAAAACTTTATTCTCGTAATTTGACAAACTGACATTTACAAAACCGACCATTTCAAATTCCTGCTTTGGTTTGGGTCAGAACTCGGTTCTGGTGTTTGGGTCAGAACTCGGTTCTGCTGTTTGGGTCAGAACTCGGCTTTAGTTTCAGGCGGTTTTGGGCTTCAGCTCAGTCTAGGGTCAGAACCGGGTCAGAACCGGGTCGCTCTTGCAGATGTAGGAACTTTTCTTCATGCTTTGTTCGAGTCAGTCGTGTGAGCCGGGCTCAGAACCGCCTCTGTTCTGTTCCTCGGACCCGACCAGAACAGCAGCAGCACCTGTTGGAGCCGACACCAGAACCAGAACAAACGGGCCCAGTGTCTGACACATCAGATGGCTCAGATTACAAACCAGAACCATCTGATCCGACCCCGCCTCCCTGCACATACCAGGGGTCGGGTCCAAGAGTCAGAACCTGGCCACCAGGACCGGAACACAACCAGAACCAGAACCTCATGGGAACCGGGCCTGCCAGATCCAACAGGTTTTGATAATTGCAGCGGTTCTGGGTTTTGGACCCAGTGGGACCGACAGGACGGTGCAGCTGCCTGACACACCAGAACCTCAGAGGAGGAGAATTGGACCGGGCGGCACTGCAGCTGCTCGACCCAAATGGACCCGGCCCAACCGGACCAGACCTCTGCTTGGGTCCAGAACCTCAGAACCTTCACACATCATGAATCTCCAGGTTCTCATTTTTGATGGATCTGAATCAGAACCTGAAGAGAACCGGGTCAGAACCAGCAGGACAAACCTGCAAGGACACAAAAGTCCAAAAAGTTCAGAACCAGGCTGAGGGCCCCTGATGAAGAGGAGGGACCCTCAGAGGTCACTGACAGCTGATCCAGCAATCAAACCAAACCGAACCGAACCGAACCGGACCGCAGCAGAACTTCACTGACCTTCATCACCAGCAGCACCACCAGCAGCAGGAGCTTCATGGTGTCCCCTCTGCGTCGTCCTGCCCGTCCGGACCGAACTCCTGCTCCTCCTGCCCTCCGGACCAACCGAGGGAAGTTCGCGGAGTGTGTGCGTTCGCTGCTGCCGGCGGGGTGCTCCGGGTGGGCGGGGTCAGGTGTGCGCGCGGTGTCCGCTTACTGTCCGCGGAGACATTTTAACCGTTTCAGCGCCGAGCCCATCCGAACCCAGCCGTGAAAGAGGAAACCCGCTCCGATCTGGAGCGAACAAGAGCGAGCCGACCCGCGGGCCCCCCGGGGCCGCCAGGGGCCCAGGTAGGGACGCCCTGAGGTGTTTTCCGGCTCCAGATGTTTGGCACATCTGTGAAAACAGACGCTGGAAAACACAGAGTCCCTCAGAGGAAAAAAGTTCCGAGCTTTTCATAGCCAACGAGACAGACTGGGCCGCAGAAATGGTTCCGTTCAGGTTCGGATTGTTGAACTGGATCAGAACCAGGAACTGATAGCTCTCTGAGAAAAAAATCTGTTTGTTTTGGATTGGAAAAATAAAATGAAGACAATGAGAAACCCGGTTCTGGTGGATTTGGACCCAGTTTAGCGAACAGAAGTTCTGTTAAACACGATGCCAGGACGGGAAGAGATCAGCAATGATGCTAGGAACGGTTCAAAGGTCATGAGCAATCAACCTGAATCCATCATTCTGCAGAGTGGAAATGAGCAGAAACCCCAGCTGTGAAGCACGGCGGTGGCAGACCGGTGATGTGGGACTGATCTGAGGCTGTCTGCTCCTCAGTTGCAGCCAGATCCAAACCGGGTCGTCAGCAGACTGATGGTTCCGAGCAAGTCTACAACAGGTTGTTTGACGAAGGGGTTACAGTGGTCTAGTCAAAGCCCAGAGCTCAGCCTGGTTGAAATGCTGGGAACTTTAGAAATATATTTGATGGATGAAAATCTCAGCTGAGGGAGGTTCTGTTGGGCCGGGACGACCAGAATGGTCGAATTCAAACTGATTCAGTTAGTTTGAATTTAGCCCCGCCTTCATCCTGCCCTCTGATTGGCTGCTGGCTCATCCTGCCGACTGATTGGCTCCTGGCTCATCCTGTCGACTGATTGGCTGCTGGCTCATCCTGCCCTCTGATTGGCTGCTGGCTCATCCTGCCCTCTGATTGGCTCCTGGCTCATCCTGCCCTCTGATTGGCTGCTAGCTCATCCTGCCCTCTGATTGGCTGCTAGCTCATCCTGCCCTCTGATTGGCTGCTAGCTCATCCTGCCCTCTGATTGGCTCCTGGCTCATCCTGCCCTCTGATTGGCTGCTAGCTCATCCTGCCCTCTGATTGGCTGCTGGCTCCTGCAGCTCTTCTGATGTTTTAATGAAAGTTAATCTGGCTGACACTGAGCAGCTCAGAGCCTCATCAGCAGCTCATTATGGCCGCTTTGTTGGCACGGTTTCATCGTTATTGTTGTTGTTATTGTTGTTGTTTATCAGTGAAGGCCGGCTGGTGACCTTCATCCCCCTGCAGAGCGCGGCAGCAGCTGCATGTTAATGAGCTGCACTGGTCCACTGCAGCGATGCATCCTCACCTTCATCACCTTCATCCTTTACATCATCGCTTCCATCGTCTTCATCAGTTACGTCATCAACATCATCTTCATCATCTATGTTTACAACATCTTCATTATTTCCATCATCATCATCATCATCATCATCATCATCACCATAATTAGCATAATAACTATCATCTTCATTTTCATTGTCATCTTCACCCTCATCATTAGAATCACCACCTACTTATTATCTTCATCATCCTCACTGGCTTCATCATCACCGTCATGGTAACAATGATGATGAAGACCAGAGCTGGTTGGTCCTGATGATCTCTAACTGTTTCCTCCTGGTTCTGCTGTGTGAACTGGAGTTAGTTTGGTACCGATCCGTTGGTTCTGATTGGCCGTCCGGCTGACGGACAGAGCTCCCCACGCGCCTCGGCCCCCCCAGGGGCCTCCAGGGGCTTCCAGGGGCTTCCAGGGGCCTCCGTCAGCATCACAGAGAGGAGGAGGAGGAGGAGACGAACCTTCAGCGGAGGCTGAGGGATGACGATTTAATTAGGCTTCTGTTCATTCATCTGTCCATCCACACACACACACACACACACACACACCCCACACACACACACAGAAACACTCTCACACTGATAGAAACAGTAAAAGTCACAGAGACTCTCTCGCTCTCCTCCCGCCGGGTTCCCACAGACACCCCCCCGCCCCTCTTCCTCCTCCTCCTCTTCCTCCTCCTCTTCGTCTCTGAATGGAAACTTGCCGTCTGTTTACAGGCTGGTGGTCGTCATAGAGACCAGGAGGTCAAACTGGAGAGTTCAACGATGTGACGACTCACTCTGACTGTAACACGTTTGTGATAAAAGCCCCACACTCCATCGTGGGGCTTACGCACCTTTCGGGGCCGCACTGTGCCTTCGGGTCCCACAGACCTCCATCAGACCCTCGGGGGCCCCACAAACCCACAGAGGCCTCAGGACCCCACTTTAGAGAAATAGAAAATCTTTTTAATCAGTCCAAGATCTCCGTGGAAAAGCATATTAAGATGTGGGGAGGAAACTGTGGCAGGTACTAGTACAAACTTTCACAATAGAAAGCTAAAAATATATTTAAAAACTTCTAATGAAGAACGTCTAGAATTTGATCTATGGCGCCACCCAGTGGACAGACCAGGATAAAACGACCTTTATGATCGATGACATGAATAAAACGCAGTCAAAGGAAACAAAAAGGAGCAAAATGGACCATTAAACCGGTGAGAAGAAAAACCAAACACCCAGCGGACCCCGTCCACCGCCTGATGGGAGACATGTAGGAACATGGCGCCTGTTCCCTCGTATGGGAAAGCGTTGGTGGTATAGTGGTTAGCATAGCTGCCTTCCAAGCAGTTGACCCGGGTTCGATTCCCGGCCAACGCAGTTCGTTTTTTTTTCATGTGGCTCAAAAGCTAGTATTTTAAAATGGTAATCGATTGTGATTGAAAGTCTTTCCAACAGCCAATCCTCTTTAAGGATGTATACAAAGGTTTAGCATTTTCTATGAATGGTACTGATCATCAACGGTAATTTTATTGTAACCTGTTTTATGACTGACTCTTACGGTCCGCGAGGAGCACAGGAAGTACAGGAATGACGCTGTTAGTGATCCCCTGTGAGCAATATCACAAGAAAAAAGTGTATAATACGATAATAAAATACATACAACACAATGAGGACTCAGGATCTAAAACAGTCCGTTATACCGATGGACACCGCCAAGCCAGCAGGGGGCAGCAGTATATGTTACTCGCAGCGGAAGCAGTAGTGGAAGTGTGGTTGTTTCTGTGAAAAGCTCAGCGCGGGTCAGGTGCTCTATCCGAACTATCCCTTGATTACCTACCGGTACCAGGACTCAGCCGGTTCTGTCAGGAAACATCAGGACTCACCGGGACTCTCCTCCGGCGGTGATTCCATCATGGCAGTCGGAGGAAGTTCGGTTCCTCCGCAGCTCGGAGACGTAGAAGAAGACGCTTCTCAGCTTCTGTTTCCTAAAGGTGACAAAGCTCAACAGAACACCTGAGGACCCGCTCCTGGCCGGGTTCGGCTCCCCGTTGTTTGCTCTGTACCGGGTCTGTCACCATGATTTGAGCTGCTCCTCACTGGGGGTTAATCTGGTGTTCTGGGTCGGAACCGAGCAGCGTGTGGCTTCAGAACCAGAACCCCTCAGAGGAGAGGGATGTTTCAGTTTCATGTTTAGTTAGTAAAGTATTTACAAACTAGATATTTAGTTTGTAAAGTAAACATTTATTTACAGTTGGAGCAAAATATTTCTATCTTATTTAACTAACTAAATATTTAAATAATTCATCTTAATCTAAAAGTTTAGTCTAAATATTTTCATTGAAACAGGTGAAAATGTTACTTTAAAAGATTAACTCCCAATAACTAAATGACGCAAATTATTATTTATGAAACTTTACAGGCTGTGCATGAACCTCACCAGACCTGAATGTTTTGTTGTATGAGGCGGGTTGGGTTCATCAGGACCAGTGGTGACTGGTGGAGGTTCTGACGGTGCCGTTGGTTCTGCAGAGTTCGAGAACGCGGAGACGCTGCTGAACTCTGAGGTCCACATGCTGCTGGAGCACCGGAAGCAGCAGAACGAGAGCGCCGAGGACGAGCAGGAGCTGTCCGAGGTCTTCATGAAGACGCTCAACTACACGGCCCGCTTCAGCCGCTTCAAGAACCGCGAGACCATCACCGCCGTGCGCAGGTCCACTGGCCGACCGGACCCACTTCTGTCTGCCAGCCGGCTCAGGTTCTGACCCGGTTCTGTCTGTCTGTCTCCACAGCCTCCTCCTGCAGAAGAAGCTCCATAAGTTCGAGCTCGCCAGTTTGGCCAATCTGTGTCCAGAAGCCGCCGAAGAGGCCAAGGCTCTGATCCCCAGGTGAGTCGGTACCGACCGAGCCCAGTCGGGTCAGAACCAGGCACGTCCTAGCCTGGTTTTCTTCACAAAATATTTTGGTGTTGGGCCCATTTTGGTGGTTCTAACAGCAGAACGTCTATCAAGAACCAGATTTCAAAATAAGAGCATGAATATAAACAGTTGATAACTAAAACTTCAACCAGTTCCATCCATCCATCCATCCATCCATCCATCCATCCATCCATCCATCCATCCATCCATCCATCCATCCATCCATCCATCCATCCATCCATCATCCATCCATCTTTCCATCCATCCATCTTTCCATCATCCATCCATCCATCCATCTTTCCATCCATCATCCATCCATCCATCCATCATCCATCCATCCATCTTTCCATCCATCATCCATCCATCCATCCATCTTTCCATCCATCCATCCATCCATCTTTCCATCCATCCATCCATCCATCCATCCATCTTTCCATCCATCCATCCATCCATCCATCCATCCATCCATCCATCCATCCATCATCCATCCATCCATCCATCCATCTTTCCATCCATCCATCCATCCATCCATCCATCCATCCATCCATCCATCATCCATCCATCCATTCATCCATCCATCCAGCCATCCATCCATCCATCATCCATCCATCCATCCATTTTCCATCCATCCATCATCCATCCATCCATCCATCCATCCATCTTTCCATCCATCCATCCATCATCCATCCATCCATCCATCTTCCATCCATCCATCCATCCAGCCATCCATCCATCATCATCCATCCATCCATCCATCTTTCCATCCATCCATCATCCATCCATCCATCCATCTTTCCATCCATCCATCATCCATCCATCCATCCATCCATCCATCCATCCATCTTTCCATCCATCCATCCATCCATCCATCCATCCATCCATCCATCCATCTTTCCATCCATCCATCTTTCCATCCATCCATCCATCCATCCATCCATCTTTCCATCCATCAATCCATCAATCCATCCATCCATCCATCCATCCATCCATCCATCATTTCGCTAGTGGTGGTGCTAATGTTTAACGTAGCACCGGCGCTGTTGACCCGGTTCTTTTACCTGAATGAACAGCAGTTGGCTCTGGTTTAATCTCAAGCAGCAGCTTCTCCCTGAGGACGGACCCGGATCCCGCTGGTTCTGGACGTGTTTCTGGATAACACCCCTGAACAGGTCATGAACCGGGTCAGGTTCTGAAGTAACTCAGCTGTTGACATTTTGAAATTTGCAGGGCCAGAATTGGACCCAGTCAGATGAGAACCGGTTCTGTTGATCCAACATGACTTTATTTCTGTGTGATTAAGGTTCTGTTGGTTCTGGTTTCAGTTTGGAGGGTCGGTTTGAGGATGAGGAGCTGCAGCAGATCCTGGACGATATCCAGACCAAGAGGAGCTTCCAGTACTGACCCACTGACCCGACCCGGTACCATGGGGACCTTCCAGTACCGATCCAATCTGATGCTTTCTGATCTTTTTGTGTGCCGTATAAATAAAACTTTCTCTGTTTTTTTTTTTTTTTACCATGTTTGTGTTTTCTTGTCTCTGTCTGGTTCTGGTACCTGGTGTTTGGGTCAGAACCACGTTCAGATGTTCACGCAGTACTCAGCTCTGTCTGGGTCCGGCAGGGCCTCGGGCAGAACCCCGGCTGCCGTCCCCACCATTCTCACCGTGTTCCGACCCAACAGCTCCCTCTCGTACTCCATGAGCTGCCTCCAGAACCCGGCGTTGGGTCGGATAAACGGCCGGCGCTCCAGAACCAGTTCGTGGGCCTGACGCAGGCTGAAGCCTTCAGATCTGGACGCAGAACAGAACCGACATGTTGGTTCTGTAGAACTTTACAGTAATTCTCTGATAAGAACAGTTGAGTTCTGATCCAGACTGACCCGGGAAACATTACGGTTCAGTTTTAGGGGAAGCTAAGAGCACTAAACGCCTTAAAAGTTAGCAAAGTGCACATCGCTAAGCTAAAAATAAGATTTGCTAACATAGTGGAGCTAATGTACCTTAACGCTTTAGAATTTATCTTCAAACTTTCATTCAGGTGAATAAAAGTTCACCTGAACACTAAACCAATTCAAAGTTAGCAAAACTACGTCAAGGATCTTCTGGTTGTGTTACCAGAACCGACCCAAACCCAGAGCCGTTACCTCATCAGGTAAGCCATGACCAGTGCTGCGGAGCGGCTCCGACCCGCTGTGCAGTGGACCAGAGTGGACCCGGCCTGGTTCTGCTGGATCCGCTCCGTCACCGGGTCAAAGTACTGGCCCAGCTGGGCATGGGGCCGGTCCTGGACTGGGACGTGGAGGACCTGCAGGCCATCGGGCGCGGGGTAGGGGAGGTCCGGCAGCCCGCTGGCGTTGATAATGAGCGAGACATTCCTGCTGGTCAGCACGGCCGCGTTCAGGGCCGAGTCCAGATCGCCCAGGTAGAGCCGGGCCGAAACCTGGGAGACCCGCATTCCGGTACGAATGTTTCCTGGAGCAGGAGATTCAGAACGGTCAAGATGAACAGCAGCTGCTGCAGCGCCACCATGTGGACAGCTGTTTATCAGAACTTCAGGTCTTCAGAATGGATCAGATCCTTGTTCTATTCAGGTTCTGAGTGGTCCAATCCAGATGTGACCAAACAAATATCTCTGAACTCTTTACCTAAAAGAACTGGACCTGAGTGGAGTCACTGACCTTCCCTCCATTCAGGACTTCTACAAGTCTAGAGACATGAAACATCTCTGCAGATCCCACACATGCTGGACATGAACGGTTTAGACTTTAACTTTCAGATCCACACCACAAAGACAGCTTCTTCAGATGGACACAATGAATACCTTACACCACAAGGATCAAACTCCAGGCCAAATCTGGCCCACCATAACTTTATGTGGCCCTAGAGTGTGGAGGGCCTCATAAATTGAACCTTAAGATAACAGTTGTGTGCTTAAATATTATTTTATTAGTCAAATCAAATCAGTTGTCACTTGTATTGGACCAAATTAGAAAGTGGTAATCAAATGCAAGGAAAGCTAATATTTTAGCAGTTTTAACAGTTATTCTGATCAATACATTCTGCCACCACTGGTTTTTTGCGGACATTCATGATGTTGACACAGAAAATACCGAATCCCCTGCCTTACAGAAAAAGTTGTTGGCTACTCTGCTGTGGAACTAAATAAACTAAATAAACTTGTCTCTTTTTATTTTCTTCTTATATTAAAAAAATCCTACATATACAGTTTCATATATATCTATTATTTTATTTCCTCTACAGTTTATATTTCACACTTAATGTCTTGAAACCAAAGTCAGATTTCTTGTTGGTGTACATAATCATGGCCAATAAACTGACTGTATTCAAACGGATTCTATATTCAAATCCACTCAAAATATGAATGAACTTTGGCACTACTGGCTTTCCATATAGGGCAACATATTAAATGGCACACATGTGATATGGATTTGTGTCCTGTTAAATTTAAATTAAACAGACAGTTATAAACTCAAAACATGTAAATTAAATCAGATCTGCAGGTGAAAGTGATAAAATGTTACTGTCAGAAGTGGGATTCGAACCCACGCCTCCAGGGGAGACTGCGACCTGAACGCAGCGCCTTAGACCGCTCGGCCATCCTGACACCGTGGGAACAGAACCGGAACCCGCGACATTCAAAGAATGTCAGCCTGTCCATTTCCTCACATATATTTTTATTGTTAGAATAGATACGGAATCGCCTCTACGGCTCAAGGTTCCACTGAACAGCCTCATCTCGTAGCGAAAGAGTCTGGTAGGAAAAGACACAATGTTACGAAAAGCTCTGCCACCGGCCGCCATTACTGTGTGAGTCAGGATCACGAGCTGGATCAGGTTCGGACCTGTTCGTGGGTCTGGCTTTGTCACAGCCTAAGTTTGGGTTGTTTTGGTCCCGGATAGTTTCCCCCGTGCTTCAGCTGCGACAGTTTCGTTTTCCTTACGTCGTCGTTATTAACTAAAAGCAGCAGAAGAAGAGTTTCTGCTCTTCCGTTGTACCGGAAGGAAGAGAACAACTTCATCGGACTGAAACGGCTCCCGAACAGGTAAAACTTAACTCACCTGTTCAGGTCAAATATGCTCCAACTAACAGAAACTCATGAACTCGGCCTTTAACTCTAAAACGGCTTAAAAACAAAACACAGGCTGAAGCCTCGCGGGTTGTTTCGAGATTATTCGAGATTGGCAGCACGAGACCAGACTTCATTTAAAAAACGTCAAATTTACGTTTTTTCATTTCGAACCGGATGTTCAGGGATATCTATATATAATCAATGTTCTCCTTTTGACGTGTCTATCATGTTAGTTGGAAACAGGATGAGCCGTTTCAGCGGCTACAGATGTTTACTCACGTCTCCATAGCAACAGTTTGTGCATCAACAGAAACTGTGGGTTGGTTGCTTCAAAATAAAAGCCTCTCCTGAAGTATGGATCAGAACCAAACTCTCAGGTTGGGTAGATGGTTTTTAAAGTGACTGACTTGTCCTGTTTGTTTTGGTTACGTTTGGACCGCAGACATGAACCAAGCTGCTCCGAGCCAGCGACCCGTAATCCCACAGGTCCGGTACCACCCATCCATTCAGATGGCAGGAAGTGGAACCACAGCCGGTGCTACTCGCCGTCCTCAGATCAGAACTCAACCTAAAATGGTCCCTAAGAACCAGAACGCCAACAGAACCGGTCCGGCTGGGGCGCGCGGACCACCTGACAACGATCCAGGTCCAACTGCAGACCCGACATCAAGCAAACAGGGCCAGAGATCCAGACCAGGTGCTGCTCGCAACCCTCAGACCAGAACTGAGCCCAGAGTGGTCCAGAAGAACCAGGACCCCAACAGGACCAGTCCATGTCTTAACAGAGGACCAGAACCCAGGACGGATCTGGGTTCTGCTGAAGACAAAGCTCCTCCCACACCAGACCAGGTCCCGCTGGACCCAAGGGCCAAACTGGACCTCCACCTGCTACAGCAAGTGGAGGTTCTGACCCGCGGTCAGAGCACCAACCAGGACTGGTTCCACTGGAGGAAGAACCGGATCACGGCCTCCGTGGCCCATCGGATCGCTCACTCCAGGTTCGCCAACGGCAAGGGCAAAACTCCGCCCCTTTCGTACCTGGCTGCCATCACAGGTGAGCCCTGCCCACCGACACCTGGACCCTGCTGGTTCTGACAGTTTTAACCAGATTGGTGGTGTTCATGAATCTGCTGGCTCCACAGGCGAGGGGCCCAAAGTCCGGACCAGAGCCATGAGCTGGGGCATCGAGAAGGAGGCCGAGGTCGTCCACAGGTACCAGGTGAGTTAATGGACTGGTTCTGAAAGGTCCGACGTTACCCGGACGCATTTAGGCAGACCTGTGATGACACTGCTGCAGTAATCAATGCCACTAAAGATAAACGCATGAATGAGTCTGCAGTTCTCAGGCCGACTTTGTAACTGTCTTTATGTGGCTCTGAAGTTCAGGTCAGAGTTCAGCCTGATCTCTGGTTTCCAGCTCTAATGGGTGAAGCTGTGTGACGATATTTAAACCAGAAAAAAAATTTATATTCTAAAATTTCAACAAAAAATTCCAGTAATACAAAATTCTATAAAATGTCAAAGAATTAAATTTTTATGTTTTTAAATTGTAACAAAATGAAATATTAAATATATATTATTTAAAGAGACAGTATTATGTGTGTTTATAGCATAATTAGGTAACTGTGTTGCCTTGAGTTGTTATTAACGTGCTGTATGAAACTGTCTGATGCTGAAATTGGGTCTCCGTCTCTTTAAAAATTAAAGCAACAGTCCAGGTATATTTTTGATTTCACATTGTGCTGCCCCTTCCAGTATCTTGATAAAAACTGACTTTGAAGACAGGAAGTGAGTGAAGTGTTTCCTGTTGTGTCCTGTAGACCCT